TCGAAGAGGCCATTTCCAGGCATTGATTACTCAAAAGATTTAAATGACACTTCACTGTCATGAAGACACCCAGGTGGCAGAAGATTTCCATGAGGACATATCGAGGCATTCATTGCCAAGAATATATTTCGTGGAAATTCACTTTCAAGATGACACCCTGGAGACAGAATAAATCCAGTCGGCCGTTTCGAGGCATTGATTGCTAAGAAGATATTCAGTGATAATTCACTGTCACGAAATTATTCGAGACCTTTTGAGGAAATGATTGCCAGAAGACACCCTGCAGGCAGAACAGTGCCTTTCCCTTCAGTGACTATTTCTTCAGATATTTGTTAGGTCATAGTGACCTATTTTAAATGAAAAGCATATTTTCGTTGTGACATTGGATTCCACCATGAGACTTCATATTTGGTTTTATATACTGGTTAACCCTTGAAAATATTGCAGTTGATATTGATAATGTCAAGGTCACGTGTTCTCAATAATAAAAAGCGTTCAATGTAGTTACAATTAATTGAAATGACGAAGACCTACTGGAAGGTCCAAATGACTAGGCAATCAAATGCAATTTTCCATAATAATCCCCCAAATGTCTTCACGTCGAAGGGGCTGTGGTGCAAAGGCACGCATGGCCTGCCACCTGTCTCCTGACAGTCTTCAAACAGACGTGGTGTACTTCGTGTCTTCAAACACACATGGTGTACTACGTCTCTCCATGTAAACGTGGTGCCACGCGTGTCTTCACACAGACGTTTATCAATATGATTATGACGTTGTCACTCGCTCATCCATGCCGAGGAGTTGGCACTCGTGTATGTCTACATGCGTACTGTCACGCGTGTCTCCATTCACACGTGATGTACTTCGTGTCTCTATGCAAACGTAGTGTCACACGTGTCATCATTCAAACGTGATGTCATGCGTGTCTTCAAACACACGTTTATCAATATGAGATATGATATGAGATAGACATACGTGGTGTTTGACTCGTGTCTCCAAGCAAAAGTGATGCCACTCGTGTACCCATACATACATACAAACATACATACATACAAACATATATAGAGACGTAGTGTCACTCGTAGGCGTGTGCCTCCAAGATGACTTGGGGGAGGGTGTGGGTTCTTTTGGATTGTTGTTTGTGTTGGCAAAGCAAGCAGGGTGGGTGTCGATTAGTCTGAACACCATGTGGACTTCATGACGTCTTGCATGTCACTGACGATGTGATAAGACTCTGTCCTGTTTACTGGGATGACTGACACCAAGCAGCTGATCTTTCAAGCATGGCCTTTCTCTTTTATCTATATTTATTCTTTACTTTTTTTCTTAACTTTTACAACGAGCATGTGCACAGACAGACAGACGGACAGACAACTCCAACTCCAACTGAAACTCAACTGCAACTCAACTCAAACACAACTCAAATTCAACTCAATCTCAACTCAAACTCAACTCAAACTCAACTCAAACCAAAACACAACTCAAACTCAAACTCAATCTCAACTCAAACCCAAACTCAACTCAAACTCAACTCAAACTCAACTCAAACTCAACTCAATCTCAACTCAAACTCAACTCAAACTCAACTCAAACCCAAACTCAACTCAAACTCAACTCAAACTCAACTCAAACCCAAACTCAACTCAAACTCAACTCAAACTCAACTCAAAGTCAACTCAATCTCAACTCAATCTCAACTCAAACCCAAACTCAACTCAAACTCAACTCAAACTCAACTCAAACTCAACTCAAACCCAAACTCAACTCAACTCAAACTCAACTCAAACTCAACTCAATCTCAACTCAATCTCAACTCAAACCCAAACTCAACTCAAACTCAACTCAAACTCAACTCAAACTCAACTCAAACTCAACTCAAACTCAACTCAAACCCAAACTCAACTCAAACTCAACTCAAACACTCAACTCAAACTCAACTCAATCTCAACTCAATCTCAACTCAAACCCAAACTCAACTCAAACTCAACTCAAACTCAACTCAAACTCAACTCAAACTCAACTCAAACTCAACTCAAACTCAAACTCAAACTCAAATTTAACTCAACTCAAACCCAAACTCAACTCAAACCCAAACTCAACTCAAACTCAACTCAATCTCAACTCAAACCCAAACTCAACTCAACTCAACTCAAACTCAACTCAAACTCAACTCAATCTCAACTCAATCTCAACTCAAACCCAAACTCAACTCAAACTCAACTCAAACTCAACTCAATCTCAACTCAATCTCAACTCAATCTCAACTCAAACCCAAACTCAACTCAACTCAAACTCAACTCAAACTCAACTCAAACTCAACTCAATCTCAACTCAATCTCAACTCAAACCCAAACTCAACTCAAACTCAAACTCAAACTCAACCTTCGGTTTGGCATCCTATTGGAGTTGAGATCAATCAAGACACAAAGAGTCAATCTATCCCTGTTTAATGATGACACCTAACACACTTCAACTTGGATACAGGGCAAACAATGCGGACAATGCGAAAAAGTGGATGACAACCTTCGTCATCGTCATCACACAGGTAGCCTGCTCAATGTTGCAATGAGTGCCGTTGCTGCTGCCTCTATTGGTGAGGGTGTTGCTGCTGCGGCTGCTACTGCCGCTGTTTAGTGCTGAGATGATTTCTGGTGCTGCTGCTGCTGGTGAGGGTGTTGTTGCTGCTGTGGCTGTTTCTGCTGCTGCGTGGAGTGCGTCGAAGAGTTCACTGCTTTCACTGCTTCTGAGGGTGTTGTTGTTAGTATGGGTGCTGCTTCTGCCGCTGCTGACGCTGCGATGAGTGCTGAGAAGAGTACGTCTGTTCCTTTTAACGTTCCCTCTGCTACCACTGTGGTGAGTGTTGCGACGTGTGGTGCTGCTGCTTTTGTTGCTGCTTCGAGTATGGATGCTGTGAGTGCTGCTGCTTCAGGTGTTGGGTTTGACTTTTCCACGTATATTTCCATGCTGGGGATGCAGATGCCATACCCCGGAGGCAGAAATGTGTCCACGACGCTCTTTAACTTCTCATGCAGGCAGTCATGGGAAGCTTTGTACAAGGCACTCGTTCTCATCATCTCCCAATGTAGAACTAGCTGCTCCCCCAGGATGTCCGCCATTGCACGACGGAAATGTTCGCTATTGAGAACGTCCTCGTACTTGTCTCCCTTCTCCTTCTTCTTCTGTTTGATGATGATGCGGTAGTAGACATTGTTGTCATACGGTGGTAGTAGCCGGAACATGATGGTGTTGTTGCTTGGACCGTTCAGTGAAAAGTGATGGCCAGGGAACGTTGGTCGTATTTAAAGGCACTGACACCCTGCTTCCTGATTGGTGGAAAATCCGACCTTCTCATTGGCTGGTTTCTGTCCCACACGCCACCCCCCAGTGTGGTACGCCCGTTGTGTTTCTTTTCTTTTCTTGTAGCATGGGAGAGAAAGCACAACCTCGGTTCGACCCATCAGAGGCCAGCACAGGCTGAGCGCGGCCTCTGATGGGTCCAAAATCAAGTCTCTGATTGGTCAGATGTCGATCCGGTTTTGTTTTTTGTCTGTAGATGTGCATGTCGATTCACTTTCGATCCGTTGTGACACCCCAAAATGATCTAGTCGTCTCTGTACCCAAAGGGGAGCGTGTCTGCAGGCAGCCCTGTGCTTTCATCGTAGACGAGGCGTCGCTTGTCGTAAACGGTGCGGTAGACTTTTCGGGTGGGTCGGGTCACAAGAGCGTTCCCGTGCCGAGGTCCTTTACGAATGATTTGATGAGGGTAATCCAAGCTGATTTTCTCCCCCTCCTTCCCAGGCCGTTGTCCCAGTATCAGTCCATTCATGGTATATGTATATGACGCTGTCCGTGTCAAAGTACAAGACCCTGCGACCATAGGTCTCCTGGATGTAAGCGTCGTGATCGGTACATCCCTCAGGGTATCCGCTGGCTTCAAGCTTCTCCTTGAAATGACGGTCGATATAGGTGTCAAAGAGTCCTTCTTGCTGGGTGTCGGGGTCATGCTGTGCAAAGGTGTCGAAATGCCAAACGTCGAAGATCTGAGGCACCTTGTAACCATGCTTCTTCACGGCTTCACGTGCCCACCCAAGACCATTCTTCGTCCGTGTGCTTGCAGGGTGAGTCTGACCGGGTATCGGCACACGTGCGGCACAAAGGACAGAGCAGTTTACCACCCGATCTGTAGGGTAGTAGCGGATGGTAGAGTCGTTTCGGCGGTAGGACACGACATTGGATAAGTCGTTTCAGCTCAAACAACGTGTCCACAGGCGGATGATGGAGTAGGGTTGGGTGTCCCGTGGGAAACGCTCCGGTCTTGCAAATGTAAGGATAAAGTGAACAGATATCAATATATTTGATGGTTTCACCTTCTTGGGCTTCGTAGCATAATCGAGTGGCATTGGTGCGTCCTCAATAGAAGGCGTCGCGAGGGTTGAGCAGTCCAGGTACGCGGATACAGTGGGGTCCCTGCAAGAAAGCACGCAAAGTCCTCCTGTTGCATTTTTTTAAACTCGTGCTCCCACAGGGTGACGACCCGTTTCACCTCAGGGTGTTGGTTCAAGAGACTCAGGCGGTAGCGGGTGTCGGTATAACGTGCTCCCATCGACGTGCCCAGGACGGGATGAGGTTCTCCACGCTCGGTCTTGTGACATGTCTGACACCCATACCAGAAACACTCCAGGAATTCGTAGATGGTGCCTGTCGCTGGATTGTAGCCATCCACACTGTACCTATGTTTACCCTCTCCACAGGTGAACTCTTTTTCACCTCCATTCCTGGCGTGCTGGAGCTGCAGATCGGGGTCGGTCTCCATGAGATAACTTAACCAGTGCGATCGCAGCACCCATTGACCTTGAACTTTGAACCGTTATTTAGCACTCATGTAACACTCATATTATGACACAAGCATTCAAACACCCGGTTCCAACATTTAGAACTATGAAATAGTTCAAGAGATCGAGACTACAACTATCAACAGTGTCATAACATGTTTACATTCCAATAACCTGTTATGACATTTCCAACAACCTGTAATGCATTGTGGTATACATCACGTGCTGTTTACGTACGTGCTATTATTAGAGTGCTACTTCAGTCCATCTTACTGTATGTATGTGAGTGCTATGTAAAACAGTGCTATCAGTTGGCTGCTAGCACAGAACATCCCAGTAGAATGGAGAACATAATAGTAAGTACATTTTATATATTTTATTCATTCATATCATATTAAATACATAATGGTGCACACCTTCGGTCACAATGACATAACCATGAGTTATGTTGACTTACTGCACCTATAATGAAAACATGCATATTCACATTAACGGCTACTATACAATGTGCACACCTTCAGTCAAAAATCATAACCACAGGTCATGTTGAATTACTGCACTGCCATTTCACATGCATACATAACAAACATCAATTTCAAATAGGGTATTTTGACAACTTTGACAACATGTCAATCACATACATATTTTCATTGTCACGTCTGAGTAAATAATGAAGTCTCCGTATTAACTGAATGGGGTCAATTGCATTAACCACTTTGCCTGTCACTTTATTTTCACATAAAGCCCATCCATCATAGTCCCAGCACAATACTTCATGGATCCGGGAATTGAACACTTCATCCCCATTCCAGGTAAGTACTTCTGAATCATACATCTGTAATTATTTAAGATTACCTTTAAAATATTTGTGACACTTAGTACACAATCTATGACCCTTAGGGGGTATAGTTGCACACCAATCACATCTCACGTCATCATCCGTATCAACAGGAGTTACTTTGGTTTCTTGAATCACTCTGACAGGAGGGTATCTACACACTATCTTGAGACCATATCTTTCAACAATATCAGGATGCATAACCATGAACTTTTTCTTGTATTTAACAGACCATGACTCCCACTTTCTTTCAATTCTATTGGGTTCTCGTGGACGTTCAACTGTCTGATATCTAGGAGTGTCATCCTTATTATCACACCAGGGAACATAGTACTTTTCAGAATGCTGGGCAATTTCAGTCGTTCTATCGAGGTACTTGCTAGGAGCTGCACTCACTTTAGAGGTCATAGTCTGGTGGAATGTAGTCTCTGAAATGAATAGAATCCAAATATTCTAATGTCGCATTGACATCTGCATCTGGGTCAAATTGGAAGTTATCTGCCCCTGGGTTCTGAATAACACCTGAAGGATCTACGTCTGTAAACATTTCCCTATGTATGGGTTCTCTATGTTCCCTAGCATGTTCTGCACAACAATTTGCTTCCATAGCCAAAAGTATTCTCTTCTTGGGATGACATGACATGGGATATTGATATACCATTGCATTCATAAATACACATAACACATCAACAATACAGTCATCTATAACACATTGTTCTAATGGGTCTAAGAATTTAACAGGTCCATAATTGGATAAGATGCTACTGGTACACAAATGCATATTGCTCTTAATCATACGACCATCAGCTAATCCTATTTCCCGTTCCAGAATGTGTGTGCAATCAATGCCATTGGGGTCAACTGGTAAGTATGATTCAATGTGTGTCCAGTCCCCCTCGGTGAGTCACTGAACCATTACGGCATCCTGTGACTCCCACTTAGGAATTTGTTCAACCTCGTTATTGTCTACTAGGTCAAACCAGTCATGCCATGTCTCTGGTTGGTAGCCTTGAGGTGAAAGAATGGCGATGGTATCGGGTTTCAGATCGTGTTTTCGGATGATTTCATGGTGAACGCAGCGGCTGTCATCACCTCTACAAAGGGATCCATGCGAACCGTCCTGATGGCGTTCTGTCGGAAGTCAGCGCATCCCCGTCTCAAAATGTTGACATCACTCTGACAGTAGGCTAAGAGTTCTTCTTGCAAGTCAAACAAGGCTCCTTCTTGAACTTTTTGGGTATGCCACTGGAGGGAGGCAGTGCGTTCCGCGGGAGACATGCCATTGGGATCGTACATGACGGCTGGTGGATAGGGACCTCTGTAGGTCTGATTGGCTTCAGTATTGAAAAAGTGTTGAAAATACCCTTTCTTCAGTTCATTCAGTCCAAAGGTCTTTGGAAATGCTTTCAGTGGGTTTAGTATGAAATTCAAACTGTCTTCGAAACACAATCGTCCCAGGGTCACCTGTAAAACCTGTTGTCCATTCCGAATCTTGGTGGGGAGTTTCACCAGATGTGGGTACATGCCCTTCAGGATCAAGTGCAAATCATAGGATCGTGCATTATGTGCCATCACATAAATCAGCTCCTCCTTCTGGACTGTGGTGTTCCTGTTCTTCGTCTTTGTCTTCTCCTTCCCTTTTTCCTCCAACGGGGTGGGCGCGTCCACCTCCATGGCATCCTCCCCCTTGCCCTCCTCCTCCTCCTGGGTTGATGAACGTCGCTGACGTTTTGTGGGTGAATGAGTTGAGAGGACTCCATCCTGTTTTCTTTTGCGTATGTTGCCCTCCTCCTCCTCTTGGTTCTTCTTCCTGGGTTTTTCTGCCAAAGTCGTCACGTGGTGGGGCCTCGAAACATGATCTCGCGGCTGGGACCATAACTTTCTTCTCTCCATGGACAGTGTTTGCACAACTCCTTGCTCGCTTCACCGATGCATCGTCCACATCCTAACTGCACCACGCACAAATTTGGGATGTGCTCCCCCATCTCTTGCATGCATTCAAAATCATAGAAGACGTATTTGATGTTGTCTCGTCGGTTTTGGCTGTAGCATTCTTCCTCTTCCCCCTCTTCCTCCCCTCCACGGAGGGGCGTCATGTAACAGCGATGGTCTGGGGTCTGCACCACAGCCCCTTTGTGGGAGAAGAAGTAATCTTCTTCTTCTCCAAATCGGCCCTTTTAAGGGCCACCCATCTCTCCCGAAAGAATGCTTTTCATCCTTTGCGTTGACTACCCTCTCATCATCCACCCACCAAAAAAAAAAAAAAAAAACCTCTTCCTCCTCCACCTCCTCCCTCCCTCCCTCCTCCTCCCTCCTCCTCCTCCCTCCCACCTTCCCGCCTTCCCGCCCTCTCTTCTCCCACCCTCTTGGATGGGGAGATGGCCCCTCGGAAACGGAAGTGACGTCATCTTGGATGCGCGCGCATGAAACTCAATGCCCTGCGCAGGCCACGTGACCTGATGACGTCATCAGAGGTCACAGAGGTCACGAGACCAAACCGACCAATCAGAAGCCAGGAGCGGTTCCAGCCCGCCGCCACCAACTACTCTCATCATCAATTGTGGAAGGACGACGTCCTGAGGGCGGCGCTTTGAAGTGGTGAGGTTTTGAGTGACCTTCTATGAAGATCAAGGTCACTGGATTGGTCTGTCTTAAGGTACTTTTGCTCCTTTCTGTACTGAGGAAATAATGTGTGAGTATAACATGTTTGTAAGAGCTTACACCTATGTTTTCAACTAAAAATAATTAAACATGTGATTCTCTTAAATTGAGGTCAAGGTCATTACACCAAAAGTGCTTATAACTTTCTGTTTATGGTAGCTAGTGGAATAGCACTTTCTGTTTTGAAGTTTACATTACAACTTTCTTAGTAATGTTGGTGCAGAACTGTTTTTAAGTTGTGATGCATTAAGCTTATGTTATGTTTGGCCTTAACTACAATTAAGTCAGTTTGTGTGTATTCCCATTACAGAGGTGAAGTTATCAAACCAAGAGTGCTTACATTGGCAGCTTGAGGCACACGACTAATTTCTACTGCATTTGGCAACATGAGGTATCCGGGATGAATATAAAACATGTATTGATGAGGTCATCTGTCACTTGAGTAGATGGAAGTTAAAATGGGTCATGAAACACGTTTGTTGTGGTAAAGTTTTCGCTATTCAAGAAAAATTATGATGGGACTAGTTCTGTATTGCATGAAATTTAATATATTTTTTCATATATGTTTTACATGTTTATCCTTGCATCTGTAGGTAGTTGTAGAATAGCATTACTGTTGTAAATATGTAAGCTTAGTGCCATAAGATGGAAATGGATCCCATACACCTGGGAATATTGTAACAATTTAAACCTTTAAAATTATGGTCGCGGTTGTTTGATCAACAGCCATGGCGAGATGAAGTATGAAATGCATGGCTTCGATGCTGTCAGTGCCATTCAAATTGATTAGCAGAGACAGAAAGCATTAACTAAGAGAAACAAAACGCGTTGATGGCAGAAAATCAATGTTACGACAATACTAATTCAACATGTCACCAATTTGTACGTGCTTTCTTGTAACGTTGTCTTTCTTTTTCATTCAGTATGAATCACTTGATCCACCAAGACTTGAACGAGCTGTGAAGGACAAGTAGTTGGTACCTGACAAAGGCCACGGTGGTGAACATTACTTGGACCGGGTACCACCTTGAAAACTCGCAGTTGTGCCCTGAATGATTGTGCACCATCCTCTAAACACTCGAACGTGATGCCACACTTACAATTACTGTGAAAACTACCACTGTAGTTTTTCGCTGGGGACTAGGTGGTTCAATATCATACTTGTGAGGCTGATTTTCATGAACTATAGTGTCACGCCATTTTTCTGTATCAAACCATGTATAATAAAAGAATGAAAAATCAACTCATTGGTTTTCATTGTAGCTTATCGGACATTTGAAGCCATGTGAGAGTATGAAATGATTTGTTGAAAATCTTGATATGATTCCCTAGTCTATCAGGCCAAATGGTTTTCTCTCATTGCAAAATATATTGATTGACCACAGAGCCTAATGTTTCAACACCATCGTGTTGTTTACTACAAAAATGACTGCTGAGCGATATTTTTAAGTACATAGTACAAAGTGGTAAATATTAAATGTCTGGCAGAAATTTATGGAGGTATAAAAAAGATTATTCCAGAAATTTCTGCAGGACAAAACAAATCAGTCAGAATTTTCTTCAGAAATGCATTTGAGCTCATTTGAGGAACATAAACTTTCCAATGTTATTAAGTGTGTTCCTGTAGGCTCGATCCCTTTATGGTCATGTTCGGACTGCTGACCATTCCAAAGTTGTATCGCCTTTCCTTCATGGAAGTTATAACCCAGCGTGTTACATGTAGGTTCATGCGGAGTAAACGTCTGAAGCGGTACAGAACGTAGGAGAACCCAAATGTCAGTAAAATGATAAAATATAAAACCTAGCAAATTCGAAAATTAGGCTACAAAAAATACAGTGCTCTCGCTGTCAGTTGACAATGCATCTGTTTCAAAACTTAAGTCCATTTGTTTGCAAACTACTCTCGCAATGCATTTTGATTTTGATTTTCTAACACAAATGATCACACATATCTTCACACCACGATTAAGTGGTATTCAAGGTGAAATATTCACGTGAAACGTGTGACGCACCACCCGAGAAGGGATGTATCAGGGTGTTTCTGTTCAAATAATGTTTTCTCATCAACTGACCTGACATAAATGATCACAGGTGCTCCATTCATTCAATATTTGGCAAGAAATGGCATATGTTCTCCTCTATGGAAACTCATTGAAACACAAAGAAAGTAGTTCCTGCAGCTTCGTTTTATTGAAAATGTTTCCACTGACGCGTACAGCAAAACTCAGCGTTCTAAATGAGCAAACACCAGAACATGGACAGATCAGAATATTTTAGCGAAGTGACTTACGCTTTGAGGACAAAAGATGCATCAACAGCCACTGTTTTATTCGACTATTTAACGTTATGAAAACATCAATTGAAAAGAGAGGAAGTAAGAAATATAAGGAAACAAAAAGTGAAACATAAAAAGTAGCCAGTTCCTGGGACTACATATCACCAATTCTGAGTCACTCGGGTGAATGAGAGAGCTCAGCTTTATTCCGGACGTAAAATGTTAAAATTGCAGAATAATCAATCAACGTAGTTTAACAATGTGCTGCTGGTTGATAAGTTCGGGAAACATGCGTCTACAGGTAATTGATGGGTGATGACACCAGAAACCCTGGATCTGTCTATGCCTCTGCTTGCTACACAATAATATAAGATATAATTTCCGTCTCTAGCTTGTCAGTTTTTGCTGACTGTGTCGTTAAACAAAATTCAACATAATATACCACACATCACTTCACGTACAAAAGAATAATTGTGGATATCCCATCTTGTGTAAACGGGACAATTATGATAGCTTTTCGTCACAGGGATCACGTTTTACACATGGTTCGTATTATTGACCATAAGAGAGAAATGTTCAGAGGAGATAATGCCGAGATGCCGAGATAATGTTGAGATAATCAACTCTTGTCTATGAATTCATTACATTACCGCTTCCACATGGCTGTCCAAATCGCCAGACATTAACTCCACAGAACATTTGGGCTAGTTAGGACCCAAAGCCTTCTTCAATCCATGCCGGGACGATGCGGATCAGTTTTGGAGTCACGTAGTGGTCTCAATAGCTACCGAGAACAAGGCCCATTTGTAAACTGACATCATCAAATCTTGAACTTTTATTGACTTATTTACAATTACTAACATTCAAACATTCAGGGACCGCCTCCGTGGTCTAATGGTAGAGCGTCCGCCAGGAGAGCTGGAGGTCCGGGGTTCGATCATACCAAAAGACGTTAAAAGATGGTACTTGTTGTTACCCTGTCTAGCGCTCGGCATTAAGGGGCTAAAAGAAAGGACTGGTAGGCTCGGAGTCAGTATACTGTGTCTGAGTGGGGTATTCATGTTAAAACTGCGGCATGGTATCTCAGTGGGCTAGCACTATAAATCGGCATCAGTCCGGACTAGTACAAGCAGCCACACACACACGTGTGCAATATAAGTGCAATAATCTTGGACGCGACGTTAAACCCAATTTCACATCACATCACAAAGAGGCAACTTCTAGCTATGACATACATCAGTTCAATTGCCTTCGATTTTCCAACACCAGTTGAGTCAATTTGCATCTTGACTTCAGTGGCAAGCACGGGTGGTTCAAATGGTTTATCGCCATTGTACAAAACAACTCTGAACTAATTGTATGTAAAGATCTTCTTATTTTTAATATATATATATATATATATATATATATATATATATATATATATATATATATATATATATATATATTATAATATTATTGATCTTTCTATTACAAAAGTCTGCTCAAATGTTCAATTTCTTCATTATGTAAAATGTTATCAACATAAAGTTAGACAAATTATTTCATAACCCTCCAAACATAGTTGTCATAATCAAACATAGTTGTCATAATGAAAATACTACGAAATATTATTGTCACATACACAAGAATACTGTCCGGTACATAATCATTAGTGACTTTCTTTTAATATCAACCACATACAGTATGAAACAAAAGAATTTCTTTCTAAAGTAAAAAGAAACTGAATGCAGCAGTGGTAAAATCTATCCATATTTACAAACCTTGGATATCCTTTGGTAAAACCAAATTTAGAAAATTGTACATTTTTTATAGATTAAATATTCAAAATTGTATACTTTTGGATATATCAAATATACAAAATTGTATATTTTTGGAAATACTAAATTTACAGAATGTTATATTTTTGGAAATACCAAATATACAAAATTGTATAATTTGGATGTTTTGGAAATTTTCTCTTGAGGTTCCCACACCTGGTGGTGGATAGTGACACTAAAGGTCATGACGTTTCAAGTTCGACAGGTCTTCAGTTTGGATGCATACAATTTGTAATTTGTCACAGCCTTTCCCCCACAACCACCAGTTGCGACAAATCCAATCCGGTTATCCAATTAAAAGTTAATAAGTTAATCAGTTTGAACACATGTTTCCCCGGGGATCCATCTGCACTGATCAGAGCCAAAAGTAGTTCGACTTCTTAGGGAATCCATCTACGTGTATATTACAGCGGCCTGTGAACAACAGATAAACTAGTGGTTGATATTATGAACAACGTCCCACGCCATCATCTAATTGGCTATCTTCATATAATCAGCACATGCGCTCAAGTTTTTTTCTTCTTTCACGTGGAATGATGATTTAAACTCGTTCTCCAAAACAACTTAAGCCTATGCTTTGAACGAGCCATGATATACTCAAGACCTTTAAGTATCATAAGAATCTTTTTTAAAGCAGGGGATATTCGTAAATAACAGGGGGAGTTTGACGTCGTACAATGTGTGAAGCCCGTTTCTGGTGTCCCCCGTCGTGATATTGCTGGAATATTGCTAAAAGCAGCGTAAAATCAAACTCACTCACACACATTATTGTTGCCTGCCATGTTCAGATATACCATATACAATTTACTCCAACCAATTAAATCACGGCGTTGTCATGAAACAGCTGTTCATTCCTGGCGAATCAAAAAACGCCGCGAAACCGACGGCAGTATACATAGTGCAGTTGTGATTTGTGAACCCTCAAAGCTTAGCTGAGTGAGACAAGGATGTGGTGTATCCGCCTGTTCACCCTTTTAAGCGTTGCGGGTGAGTGTGTTCATTCATCTTCGTTCATATGTTCGTTGTGTACATTGTCATTCCTGCATTCTGATTTGTTGAATTGGTTTTAATATGCAATACATATTCCATCTACGCAGTATATATATATATATATATATACTCCAATGGGGATAAATATTCCCTCGTTTCGGGTTTAAATGTATGCTTTAATAACCTCCATTGGCCGCTGTTAAAGTGACTTTCACCTAGCCTCAGATGGGATCTTATATGTATCCTGTGGTAGAAAGATGTGATGATTCTTTTGGGTGATTATTTGTTGATTGTGTGTTTATTTATGCACGTGCAATATCACTTGGATTATTGTTAATTCTTTTAAATAATTTTGATACGCTCTTTCTGTCTGCACTGCCTGGGCACCAACATCGCCAACCATACCTGTTGATTTTGTTTAGGTGTTACCTAGACTCATTCTCATTCAAATCAGATCTAAGTTCTCGCTGCCGCTAAACAAGGATCTGAGGACATCCCGTAATGGGTCACGTCAGAACGACCTATCGCAAACTTTGACCGACCACTGAAATTGACTAACAAGAAGTCGACATCAGCCAAATAGAAAGCAGCTTTCTCGAGCTTTACGACACTCGTTTCAATCTGGCGACTTCCATTTCAGACTACGCTTGAAAAATAAGTTGACACAGTTCTCGATTAAAATTTTGAAAACTGAACAAACGAACATTCTGGAATGTCTAATAAATGGTTGAGATTGTATGGCAGGGCTTCACACGTATTGTGCACCGCCTCCTCCGTTCAAATGTTTATCCTACGGAAGCAAGAGATAGACGATTACATTGACAGAATCAGTCGTATGGGCCGTAACCGACGCGTTTCAATTCACATGTATATATTCCTAACGTTGTATGGAGTAAAGCTATCACGAGGTCAATAAGGTAAACACTATTTCAATACAAAACAGAGCTCTTCATGCCAAAAGACTGATTACAAGAAGAATCATCAGGAGATGACATATCGCCCCCGTTCTGGTGCTGTTCAGAAATGGAGTTTTGCTACTTTCACCTCACTTTTGGTTCATTGATACCATCAGGTCAGTGGTGTTACAAATTAATGTTGTTCAGTATTTTTCAATAACACAAATCATCAAAAGGCACCACTAGACTGATCTGTGCAGCAAGTTTCCAGCTTGTCATGAAAACAAAACAAAAATAACTCAAATAAATAAATATCCGAACACCAAAAAGAACCAGTTCACTACTAGAATGATCTGTATAGCAAGTTTCGACAAGAAATATTCAACGGTTTAGGAGTTGTGCTCCGGTAACGGACAAGAGTCATCCAAAGATGACAAATCCCCCGGCCCCTACAATAGCAAATGGCACCACTTCATCTCCTGGTTAATACATGTACCATGTTGGTATGAAAATGAAAAAACTTTCACGATTTTTTTATGTCTGCTCCGGAAAACGACAAACAGAGGGACTGACATGCTAATCACTTTATACACGTAGTTCTTGCTTGCAAATTATTCAAAACATTAATGTGAATCAAGATGTTGACGGTGTTAAACCTTTTTAAAATGTATGTAAGCAAATGTGCATGCATGGCAATTGACAGTCAGATGTGATGCAACCAAATCTTGCATTTTTCTAAATTTAAACATATTGATTGTGAAGTTTGTTTGTCTGTTCGTTTGTTGTTTAACGCCGCACTCAGCACTATTCCAGCTATATGACGACGGTCTGTAAATAATCGAGTCTGGACTAGACAATCCAGTGATTGGCATCATAAGCATCGATCCACGCAATTGGTATACGGTGACATGCATCAACCAAGTCAGAGAGTCTGACCACCCGATCCTGTTAGTCACCTCTTATGACAACCCTCTTACGACAAGCATGGGTATTGAATACCTATTCTAGCCCCGATCTTCACGGGTCAGATTCTAATGTATTAAGATTTACGAAGATATTATTAATTTATTATTATTGTTGTTGTTGTTGTTAAAATACCCATCTATAGAACTGCATTGACAAACGTTAGATATAATGGCAGTTAGATGGTTGGTTGGTTTGTTGTTTAAAGCCGCACTCAGCAATATTCCAGCTATATGACGGCGGTGTGTAAATAATCGAGTCTGGACCAGACAATCCAGTAATTGATATCATGAGCATCGATCCACGCAATTGGGATCGATGACATGTATCAACCAAGTCAGCGAGCCTGACCACCCGATCCCGTTAGTCGCCTTTTACGACAAGCATAGTCGCCTTTTACGACAAGCATAGTCACCTTTTACGGCAAGCATGGGTTGCTGAAGACCTATTCTACCCCGGAATCTTCACGGGTCGGCAGTTAGATGGGGAAAAGGTAGAACATTTAGGAATTGTAAGAAACACAAGACCTGAATTAATGTCTATCCATTTTAGTATATATGGTTTACATGTGACGTCTCTTAATTTGTTTTTACTTGTTGAGTTTTAACAAAGATGATTCCATTTCATGGGGCAGATCAGCATCTAGACTCACACAAGTCTTAGTTTAAATAATAATTCCAAGATTATAGAAATAATACGTAGACCGGCATACTGTCAGCTGATCTGAACATGGCCAATATAAGGATAGAATGACTATAGATACATCCATAGATATACCATTCAGTACAGACTTGGAGCAAGGCTAATCAGCACCATGAGGCTAGAGTTCAGCTGTTTGTTTATATACTAGACACATTAAGAAACTGTGCACGGAGAAAATTTAGATATAAGGGCACACCGTCCATATATGAAATATAGGTTTGAACACAGCAATTATTGGAGACATTCAAACGCTCATGCACGTGCCATGCGATATGACGTCATTGATGGGGGCCTATGGACGTGCATTGTATTACTGCACGTGCATCCTGTGCAGCTGTTCACAGCATGTGCAACTCAAAATTCGCTGTCACTTTGGAAAGCATGATCTGTGGTCATTCAAAAATTCAAAACTTCTCAAGCATATCACAAGCAAATCATGCCAAGATTGACAGCTGCACAGCGTCATGAAGCCATTGGAATGATCCGAGCGGGAATGAGGCAACCACAGGTGGCAACACATTTCCAATGCCATCGGCATTGGTGAGGCGTTATCAGAACACAAATGACGTTGCCGACCACGCACGTTCAGGACGTCCCCGAGTGACGACGCCAAGACAGGACAGATGGATTCGAGTTACACATCTCCGACACAGGTTCCAAACGGCAGTAACGACGTCCTAGACAATTCCTCGACTGCGCCGTATCCATCCCAACACTGTCAGGAATCGTTTACGTCAGTACGGGATTCGACCACGACGCCCTGCCATACGTCCCATCCTGACACACCGTCATCGAGTCAACCGTCTAAGATGGTGTCGAAATATATGTTCGCCAACCTCGAATATGGTGGAGAAATGTTGTCTTTACAGATGAATCGAGGTTCAACATTTCCCACAGTGACGGGCACCAACGTGTCTACCGGCGTTTGGGAGAACGATATGCACGCAACTGTATTGTGGAGAGGAATCGTTTTGGAGGTGGCTCTGTGATGATTTGGGGTGGGATAACAGCACGGCACCGAACCCCTTTGGTGGTTGTTCAGGGCAATCTCACCGGTGTTGGCTACAGAGATCAGATTCTGAGCCCTGTGGTCATTCCTTTCCTGCAACGTCATGTTGACATTTCAACAGGACAACGCTCGTCCTCACACGGCTAGGGTCGCAATGGATTTCCTTCACCATAACAATGTCATGTTACTGCCATGGCCTGCAGTTTCTCCAGATCTCTCCCCAATAGAGCATGTGTGGGATGAAATGGAGCGCCGTCTGCGTCGTCTTCCACATCCTCCAGATAACGTCCGTGACTTGGCACAGGATTTGAGGAGGATATGGCAGGCCATTCCCCAGGCCTTCCATGCCCATTTGGTGGACTCCATGCGTCGCCGATGCACTGCTGTGATTCACGCACAGGGTGGTAATACGCGTTATTGACTTTGTGACTTTGTCGTATGACCCCCTACTCCATTTTGATCTTACGTCATCGTAACAGATGTTGTTCAAGTCCCGTTGACATTTTCTTATGGTCAGATCATTCAGCTGCTACAGCGTCTGCATCATTTTGTTCTTGCTGTGTTGTATTTCAATCCAGAATATATTTTCTCCGTGCACAGTTTCTTTATGTGGCTAGTATAGTAAGATGAGACCGGTGAATTGGGGAGTGGACATTGGCTGACCATGGGCTAGTGACTGCTGATGAACTGATGACAGTTTTATAACTAACCAAGATCCTTTTGGATAGCAGCATTCCTTGCGAAATGCACAGGAGTATAATGGGATGTCCTCCGAGCTTTTTTGGCTATAGCGAAAATTAAGATCTGATTTTAATGAGATTGCTCCCAGACTGTGCAGCCAGGATTTGCACCCTGTAACATTTTACTTCAATACACTATCATTACTGTCTTTTTGTGTTGTGTCATCTTTGACTGGAGTGGTTCGCACCGTTAGCATCCCTTTCCGTGAGACGAAATTGTTACGTAACTGTGGTAATTGAACAGGTGTTTACAGATAAACTATTGCAGATAACACATGTGTTCGTTGTCGAATGTAATTTGAAGTATTGACTGTGTAACTTTCGTAAAACCTCACGCAAAATGAAACAGGTCTTTGACTTTAACATTTTGGGTACCATTGCTGTTACTCGCACTCAAAATCAAGCTGACCTCTTCACAAGAATTCCATAGGACGGAGACCCCCGCCCCTTTCCCTTGACGCCATCAGCACATTGTTGTTAGCTTCTGATAATGCGATGATGGATGGGCTATCTTTTTGCCAATGGGTATAACATTGGCCGCAGGTAGACTTGAACACATATCACCAACTACTGTAGGTGTCACTTTGTCCACCATCTAGGGAGATACCAATGGGTGATTGTGTTATTTTAAGTATACGGGAGTGCATGTGTAGGACTACAGACCCTGATACAAACATATATCAAATACAGCCCATGCAAGTCTATAATGTTTGGCAAGTCTAGATTCTGAAAATGAAGAGAGTCACTGGGCTCCCTTTTATTATATTTTTTATTAAGATAACTGAACAACTGTTTTTTTCTGTACGATATGTTCATTTCAGAGATTAGATGTTAGTCTAGTGTAGGACCTACATGTAAGCTGACAAACACCGGCTTATAAGTTGTTCACTACGGACAATAAGCTTCAAGACGATGTACAATTGGTACCAATTGAAAGAATATTTGTTCCGTTTTAGTCATATGCACAGGTTACATACAGAAAAGGATCCTTGGTGGGTCCAGCGCCAGCTCTGCTGAGTTTCCGTATGCGGGAAGTTTACAGAAGTTGGTAAATGGTGAATGGATCCACATTTGCGGTTGCACACCATATTCCACAACAAAGGCATTGACTGCAGCACACTGCTTAGACGATGAGTAGGTGTAGATAAGACTCTCAAGATTTTACCTAATGAGCAAGAATTATAGCAGACATTGATACTTCAAACTTTCATTCAAACTTGAACAAACGGAAAATTAATAAGATTCAAGAAATTATGTTAAAATATCTTTTTTTCTCGGATTTCGCAAAGCAAAGAACGCCGAAAGATGACAGGATAATTATTATAATAATTAGTTCAATAGTTTTTCAGGCATCATGATGAGGCCACCCTGTAATGACTATTCGGCGGCTCTATAACTTGGGATTCTGTGTCAAGATTAGATATGTTTGCTGCAGCTGCAAAACCAGATATTCTTTTATTTAAAACTAAGAGTCTCAATATTTTATAAAACAAAACAACGATTAATTTTTGTTGCAGGCAACTGCTACACTATAAAAGGTTTTTATTTCGATAAAAGTCGGCCAGTCTCATCCTAATTTTTCAGTAATCTACTCATATAGTTTGCACAACTTTTTTGCCTTTTATGCCCATTTGATTTTGTATAGGCAGATATTCGAGACTGGTTGTTCTCAGGCGTTGACGTTTTATATGTACTGTGAAGATACTATTAACTAGGATTATGCTTTTCTTCCCAGCGACCCATCTGTCTACAGAGGAGTATTCGGAACAGTGGATATCGCAAACAACGAAGGGTCCGTTCAGATTTCGGCATTGACATCATTTACCCGGGTAAATTATTTACAATCTTATAATCTTCAATATAACAGGTGTAATTGTGGATATACGTGTACAATGGATATACATCTTTCTCTGTGTTGTGCATCTTCAATATGGGATAATGCTTGAAACTGTTTTAGGAACATTTAGGAAAGAGACAACGTTTATCTTAAGGTAAACTCATGGTTAATTATAACATATTTTCATAAAGCGAGAAGACCTTGTATCACTCAGAGGCGAACGAACAGGATCGTGTTCGTATTTATCCGATCATGGTTTTGATGTGGTCTCTCTGTGTCTTTACAATGAAACCAAAGGTTTTCTGGTGGTTATTTGGGCCGAAAATGGACACCATAGAATTCCGTAAAACGTTTCCTTTTCCTTAGCGAAATCAATCCTCTCTCCAATCATAGATCTACGGTAGTTAGGATTACCCCCCAAGAGTTTGTATACGCCAAAATAGCATCGGTATTGTGCTTGTTATGTTCACAATTAGTGTGAGTCTGTAGAGTAACTTAGACCTTAATATTGTTTACAATTATCAATTCTCAGTCACCACATTTAAACCCGGATTGAAATGTTAATTTGTGAAGTAGGAATACGTAATGGTCTAATTTTGAAACAAATATTAAAATTTAGTCTCTTCCCACAAAGCCTCTAAATCTGTGTTCATGGAGTAGTTATGACAGACCCCATTCTAGCTTCCTCGCAATGTAATGTTGAATAATGGTTGAAAAGGAAAGTCATTAAAAGAAGTAATGAATCTAGATGTGTTGTCTTTGGGAAGGACGTTGTTACTTGTGTATTTCTTGTCCACAGCATCCTTCCTTCTCGGATTCAGTTGGCCTTCCCAGTGATATTGCAGTTTTGCGCCTTCAAACATCCCTCGACACATCAAGTCCGAATGTTGGGACATTCTTTTTGTCTTCCAGTTCCCCCAACTTAACCAACACAGACTGCACGGTCCTTGGATGGGGTGCATTGTCAAGTAAGACCATTCATAATATGCATCCAATGATGGTGGTGATATGGTTGTTAAGGCGCCACAATACGCCGTGCATGGGAGGGCCGAAAAGTATTGTCGTGGGTTCAAATTCCAGATACCAGGCGCTGTGAAACTCACTCACACCCTTCATTATATCCACTCACTCACTCACTCACTCACAGACCCGTGAAGATCCGGGGTAGAATAGGTCTTCAGCAACCCATGCTTGCCGTAAAAGGCGACTATGCTTGTCGTAGGAGGCGACGTACGGGATCGGGTGGTCCGGCTCGCTGACTTGGTTGATACATGTCATCGATCCCAATTGCGTGGATCGATGCTCGTGATATTAATCAGACTCCATTATTTACAGACCGCCGTCATATAGCTGGAATATTGCTGAGTGCGGCGTCAAACAACAAACAAACACAGTCACACACACACACATACAGTCACACACAGTCACACACGTGCATGCATGTCGCTATGTAAATACGTCAATATTGCATGAAGACATGTTTAAAAAACAAATGTTCCTTGTTAAAATGCTAACAAACAGCATGTGACCTATAATCACTCAGATCACCCGTCATGATGAGGGTATGTGACCAATACTGAAATGTCAACAAATCTCGAAAAACAAATTCATTGTTGAACGAAAACTGTCAGTAGCATGTATGTGATCCACGTGATGCGTTCACAGCCTGACACCGTATCATGCTCCCAAAAAGTGTCTGCCAAGGGATGATTGTTTCACTCGCCGGAAGGACAGGGCGTCGTGAGGGGGCGATCGGCAGCTTCTTCCACATGTGTTCGATTGGGTTGAGGTCTGGTGGCCGGGCTGGCCATGCCATGCGGACATTGGTCTCCTGCTCTACGTTTGCATCAACGACCCCAGCACGATGAGGTCGTGCGTTATCGTTCACGAGCATAAGGTGCGGTCCGATTACACCAGCTTACGGTCTCACATACACATCCAGAATATCATCCATGTACCACACACCTGCCATCGTCCCCCACTGTAGGACATGGACATTGGTTCTTCCAGCTCTACTGATCCCATCCCAAACCATGACTAAGCCCACACCATAGCGGTCATGTTCGGCTACGTTGGAATCCTGAAATCTTTGTCTACGCCACACTCGGGCAAGATGATCTTTAAAGTTCAGATATTAACTCGATTCATTAGTGAAAAATACTGGATCCATGTCCTGGTCTATCCAATCGTCATCCCAATCCAAACGTGCCTGCCTGTGATGTCGGGTCAGTGATATTCAAATGCAAGCCCTTTGTGACCGGAGACCAGGAACAAGGAGACGATTACGCCCTGTCTGAGTAGAAACGTTAAAGCCACGGGCGTTTCGCAGGTCATTTCTGAGTGTGGTGGCCGTCATGAAGTGATGATTCACCACCCTAATTCTTCTGTCGTCTTACGCCTTCTTAGACGCTGAGGGGGCATAATAAGTGCATTAAACTGTTGCAGTCCTCTTTACCAATTGTTGTTGTGCTCTCTGGTGATGATGTCCACCGATTCTGTCACGATAAATCCAAACACAGGTTTCAAGCATCTCGTACACATCACTACATGCCTCTTTCCGTATAACTACCAATTCATTGTGTACCGGGCAATTTCAATCCTTATTTGTTGGGTGATTATCATCAACTTGATTCTCAGCAAACATTAAGCAGTATATATGTTCGATGCAGATTTGTTTATCATCAACTTGATCCTTAGCATTATCATCAACTTGAACCTGACCAAACATTAAATAGTATATGTTCAATGCCATATTAGGATTTTCTTTGTTTGTTGTTTAACGCCGCACTCAGCAATATTCCGGCTATATGAAGGCGGTCTGTAAATAATCGAGTCTTGACCAGACAATCCAGTGATTGACATCATGAGCATCGATCCACGCAATTGGGATACGATGACATGCATCAACCAAGTCAGCGAGCCTGACCACCCGATACCGTTAGTCGCCTCTTACGACAAGCATAGTCGGCTTTTACGGCAAGCATGGGTTGCTGAAGACCTATTTCTAATCCGGATCTTCACGGGTCCCATGTTATGGTTGATACAGAAGTACGCTATATTTTTGCAAAATGGCCTATAGTTGCGTCAGTTTTACTTGTTTAAACTGCACGTTCAGAATGGCCATCGACATTTTTGCTCAAAATAAAATGCAACAACAATAGCGTGACGTCATCATAATGGTTTAAAACTGGTGTGACTTCCAGTAGTTCAAGCAATTGTGATTTATATTAATCAAACCCAAATTTGTCTTCCAACTCAGATGTTAGGATGCATCACAACCCAGCTGTTTATTATGTCCCTAATTACACAGAGAGTGTATCAATCCGACACAAGCTACCCACTACGATGTATAGACATCGACCGGAAATAGGCACCGAGAACAGTGCCTTTTTAATCTAGGACCGAGGATTTATATGAAAACCTTATTCATCTTCAAAGTATCAAGGCCAATTACACAGAATGCAGCAAGCGAAGCTCTGTGTTTTATTAATAACCTTCACTTCAGATGGGATGTTCCCTGACGTTCTTCAGAAGAAGACGGTGACGATAACCAGCGAGATGTCCTGCAATGACGACTGGTCAGTGCTTGGTTTGACCATCGGCGGTGACAAACTGTGTGCAACAGATGAAGGCTTCTCTGAGGTAATGTACGATACGAAAACTAAATACCGGGTTCACTCATTCTTAAAATGCATATACATTACAGTCACAGTGTAATCCCCCACTCACTCACTATTCTTATATACTAATCGAGTTAAATAACATCCCCAACTGGAAGTGAAAAAATCGGGTATTCTTTAACCTCTTTTGAAGTATAATTGGTCGCGCGTCGTGTTGATAGAGGAATCCTCTTTGCAGCTCTCCGGTAGTTTAACGTTAATGTCCCCTCGGGATTACAAATGCTAAACTGATAGGTCGTGATATACTGAGTGAGTGAGTGAGACTGGTTTAACGCTGCTGTGAACAGCAGCTCTGAAGTTTAGTGAGAAGACAATTTGTGAAATACTGGACTTCCTTGCAGATTGCATATATGTGAAATTAGGTGCGCTAGGACATTTAGGTAAGAAATATGCATTCCCACTGGCAACACTTGTGCTGCCCTCCTTGCTGATCTGGTTCGTTTTCAGTGATCCATTCATAACATTTTCACCGCTATTTTGACTTTGAGGCCTTATGGAATATGTTTTAGCTTATAATAGAGACTGGTTATTCAATGGCATCGCCGTATTACTTTTAATGCATATGAATGGTTATGCTCGGATTGGCAAACCCCAAAAACATGGGAATTTGGTCAAGAAGTTTTAAATAAAGCTTCGGATATATCGATGATCTGATATTGTTCAATAATAGTCAAACTGCCAATTGTCTTTCACTGATTCACACACCTTAACTAGAAATAAATGAGACCAGTGAAATCCGCCTCGTCTCTTTCATATTAAATTAGATCTATACACAAAGAATCAGAGTGACAAAACTGTCCTCATTATTGTGTGACAATAGTCAAGTTGTGTGGGTTGGTCGTGTACAGTGGTACCCCTGCTAAGTGAGCTGATTCTCGCTTTGTAATATCTGTATGTGCGTATGTTTATTGTGTATGTGTGTGTGTATGTATGTGTATGTGTATGTGTATGAATGTATGTGCGTGGGTGCGTGTGTGCGTGCATGCATCATGTATGTATGTATGTATGCACTTGACACCTGCTATCTCACTTCGTTTATTCATCATACTGAACTAGACAGGCCGTGTTGATACAGGACATGGTTGTGGCGGTGATGCCCAGTTATTTAATGCCCTGCTAAGGAAATCAATGTCCGATATTTAGAACCGATCCATCATTTACATACTGATATATATGATCTGTTTCAGAGAGACAGCGGCGGACCATTGGTTTGTGGGGCAGGATTAGCTGGTCTGGCTTCCTTTGGTGGGTCATGTGCCGCCAAGGTTCTTCCAAATGTCTTCACAAATATAGGTTTCTTTTTCAGTTGGATACAAGGTCAATAAAAATCTATGTATAATCCTATTTATATTCTTTTTTGGTTGGACAACCAGAGGATTCAATATTAAACACGATTCACAAATAAAATATCTGATTTTAAGCATGGTTCACTGTGTCTTGATTTATTCACGACGATGCGGCGTTTAACAACATTTACTCACTCGCTCTAATGACTCTCTTTAATCATCTAATCAGACAATTGAAATTTTAATTCTAGCTGAAGTAGCATGACAATTCCTCAGACAATGTAACTGAAATTATTTTGGCTGCACTGAAATAGCATGGAAAATCTATAGCTTCTCTGACCTGTCGAAATGGGTGTGGAACGATATGTCCTTCAAATATACACCTTTATGATGGTGCTGCAGGGAATACCGTAAGCTCTTCCCTAATTACTCCACTGTCCTCAGTCTTCACGCAGAGAGGTACCCTATCGCATTAAAGGTCTGATTTTAATAAGATTGCACCTCATTTTCATTAACGTAATCATGATTATTCAAAAGTGAAAGAAGCGTCCAACAAATGTCCAACAAATGTCCAACAGCTACCTGATGCTCCTGTGTGGTTTCAATTCAAGCGTGGTTACAGCTTTTTTTCTTTGTTTGTTTGTTTGTTTGTTGTTTAACGCCGCACTTAACAGTATTCCAGCTAGATGAAGGCGGTCTTTAAATAATCGTGTCTGGACCAAACAACCCAGTGATTGACATCATGAGCATCGATCCCCGCAATTGGGAACCAAGTCAGCGAGCCTGACCACCCCATCCCGCTAGTCGCCACTTACGACAAGCATAGTCGGCTTTTACGGCAAACATGGGTTGCTGAAGACCTATTCTACCCCGGATCTTCACGGGTAACAATATTCAGTGAGACATATTGATTAATATGGACTCGTTACTTGGTTCATACATTTCATCGTATCCCAGTTACGTAGATAGGTGCTCACTGGATTTTCTAGACCACACTCGATTATTTGTTTGTTTGTTGTTTAACACCGCTCTCAGCAATATTCCACCTGTATGACGGCGGTCTGTAACTAATCGTGTCTGGACCAGACTATCCAGTGATTGCCATCATGACCATCGATCCACGAAATTGGGTTGTTTGGTTGGTTGGTTGGTTGGTTGGTTGTTTAACGCCGCACTCAGCAATATTCCAGCTATATGACGACGGTCTGTAAATAATCGAGCCTGGACAAAACAACCCAGTGATTGACATCATGAGCATCGATCTCTGCAATTGGGATACGATGACATGCATCAACCAAGTCAGCGAGCCTGACCACCCGATCCCGTTAGTCGCCTCTTACGACAAGCATAGTCGGCTTTTACGGCAAACAAGGGTTGCTGAAGACCTATTCTACCCCGGATCTTCACGGTTAACAATATTCAGTGAGACATATGGAATAATCTGGAATCCCACGGGTGTGTGAACATAGTGACATTTTTCCATACCCTCCACTCTTTAATCCGTCCCCAATAAAGTCCTCGGCGAGAAGTGGTCTTCAGCGACCCTTGCTGTAAGTAAAAGGTGACTAACGGGATCGAGTTGTCAGTCTCACCGACTTGGCTGATGCAGGTCGTCCATGATGTCAATCAGTGGATTGGCTGGTTCAGCTTTACTGATCGCCGTCATATGGTGGGATCATTGCTGAGTGCGGCGTAAAACAACCAACACACGTTAATCTGTTTGTTAATTTGTTACACCGGGTGATTATAGTTGTTACGCCCCCGTCCCTATAACCAGGATTTCTCTGTATCATAACGGTATATCGGAGACCGGGGCATGTCTCAACAATACTTCTAAACAAATGAAATCGGTATCTGTAGTTTACTCGTACACTATACATATACAGTAAAGTACGTTTATAACGAACTCAAAGGGACTACTAATTTCAGTTCGTTATAACCGTAGTTCGTTATAAGCATATATAGAGCCTAACTACAGCAAATACTCGGGACCAAAAAAGTAAGTTCGTTATATCCGTCAGTTCGTCATAAGCGTGTTCGTTATAACCGTAGTTTACTGTACAGTAGACTTCACATGGCTGCGGGGTAGCCTTCTTGTAGACGTAGACACTAGGCCACCTCTCACTTCCCGAATCCCATCCTAATCGGCTCTTACGACAAGCAGATGACCAAACAAAACACTCCAATACCACAATACAGGTACACATTTTATTGTGATGCGCAGAGCTATGAAACAATGCAAACATCAGCACAAAATAGATTTTGTTAGAAATCATTAGTTATCACATGGTTAACGTACAATGATGCTCTTAAAAAATGTTTATACAATATGAAACAAATGCCAAAATTAAAACACAGAAGTGTTCTTTTTAAGAAACACTTTTCAAATCGAGAAATCGCTTTATAAAAAATATTAGTTTCTTTACTCAGTGACATGTTAAAGCATTTAATAGCATAGCTACAATATATAGCGGACATTAGACAGCACCTTCACCACAGATACGTTGTGCATAACTAGAAGATAAAGACAAAGTGGATTAGCTGAGTGGACATCCCCGGTGGATTGTTGTGCATGATTGTATACATGAATATTCGGGTAACACATGTTATAGTTGGGATAACACTTTCTGAGTAAAGTACAGATTTTCGTACTTTTTGGGGTTGAGTCACGTCCGGGATTCGAACCCACACTGCCAGAGTGAGGCACCTAATCGCCAGCACACAAAGTCAGCGATCTAACCCACTCAGCCACCGAGGCTATGTTCGGGGTAGTCCTGCTGTCCAAATAACACAGACATAATAAGCATTTAATGCTTCATAATTCTTACAATGGACAAGCATTCGACATTTCTAAGTATGAAAACAGTAAGACCATTGGGGAAAAAGAAAAAAGCATCAGAAAGTATCTGGAGACTTTATCTCCCTTGGTTGCCCAGTAACTGATGTTTCAAGTCACATAAAATAACTCGTTCGGATATTAGTTAATCAAAAAAATATTATTTTAATGACGATTTTGCTGAATTATTAGAAACAAATATTATCTTTTTCTTTCACAGAATTTTTTGTCACGAAACAAAAGTGTTTTCGTTCTTGTGTATTTTAATTAAAAAAAACATAATCAGAATCTTGGTTAAAATACAGGTAATATAAAGGTAACATTATAAAAATGACCCACTAAAATAGTTGTCCAGGCCAGTGCTGAAGACCCGATGAACAGAACAGATCTAAAGAACAGATCTAAAAAGGCATGACAGTTTCTACCGGTATATTATATTCCCGTTCGGCTTACACAAATACCTAAAAGCTAAAGACATCCAGAATTTTCTAACCAATAAGAATATTGCTCTTGTCAGTGGTAGATATATATATATACAAAAGCCTGGTTATAACTATAAATATGCAGTGATCTTTTCACATGGCACAAAAACTTACATACACGACGGAATGTGTAGAAATACTTTACCTAATGACACAAAATTAATCAGATATCTTCTAAAGACACATCTGAGCAATCTAAATGTTTGTGATTAAATAAAATTTAATTAAAAAATCGTGTCCCGAGTTCAGCCATTGACGTTTAAGTATCGACACAGGCAGAAACACAGACCTCCATAAAGATATTTTGAATCCCTTAACCGATTTTAATAATTATTGTTTTTGTCCCAATAATACCTTGAATGAAAAAGTGAAGGTGACATCTATCACGTCGTCATTTTACACCCCATGCAGAGGCCTTCCAGCAAACCAAAACTTTCGATAGATTCTTACATGCTCAGCTTAAAAAGTCAGTTTCAGTTTCCATCTTCGTAGGTAACATCTCCATGTACTGTTATTACACTAGGGTCGACAACAAATACGTAATATTCCGTCGGCAGGATCAAAGAAAGACATTACATTCACACAGGCTCATCCTAGGAAACAAAGTACCGTATTTCCTCTCACAGACGCACCTGACATGTATTTTTCGGACATTATAATCCCCGGCGTAGAGATTCGGCTTTTACTCCGTCACAGAAAGTTAGGGGCTATTCATTATATGGTTTCTGAAAGTCCAAATGTTGTTTTTTTTGTATCACCCTGAAGAGACGTTGCCTGAGTATCGGCGCCAGTTTTAAATCCTCGACGTTTATTAGACGAAATACGGTATATACATAACTAACTAAGGACAGGTAAAACACATCAACAACCGGTATTCATGGGCGTGTTACACAAACACGCCTTCTCGTTTCAATGTTTGACACCGACCTTTGTCAAAAGCACAACCGCTATTCACCTACCATTTGTACATTATAGTATCATGGATTGACATCTTAAACGTAAAAAGCAAACACCAAAAGCATCAAAACTACTCATAAACCTCATAAACCTCATAAACACAGCATCCTAGCTGTTATCTGGAGAAAACTCACACCGTACGTATACAGCGCTTAAACCCAGACAAAACATTGTTCGTGTGCAAATATTCGCACCAGGAAGCTCTTGAGTAGTATATTCTTTTGCGCGCCTAATACATACATCTGAGCATTTGTCAACATCGAACTATTGTTTCAACGATGTGTTGTTCTTAAGTTTTCGCGGAAACCTGGTGTCATCACTGATTTAGAGTGATCCACTCCCATATATTTCACCGCTATTTTGACACTGTATCTGCTCATTGATAGAAATAATTAATAGAAAGTAAATCATACCACTTGCGATAATGACCTAAACAAAAATTCTTATAAGAACAGCAGGGCATGCTTACCCTTATCGCGAACACCTGGTATCATCACTTATTTTCAAGGGTCCATATATATAATTTTTATCGCTTTAGCGCCGAATGGAATCTGTTTCGGCAGAAAACCGAGACTGGTTAATCTCTGGAGTACACGTTCAATGAATTTTCACTGGCCTTTTTATTCCTTGTTTTCTCACAAGTGAAACATTCGCTTGAGGTACCATTGAGAAATTAGGCAAGGCCAAAATATTCTTTCGTTACAGTCAGGATAATCCTGCTGTTTAAGGAAAATATATACGGCGATTTTTTACCAGACAAAAACCAATAATCATTTATCGGTATCGGTTCGGAAGAGAAGTTACACAGAATAATTGTAATGACCCCCACCAACCCCACCCCACCCCACCCCCACCCCGCAATGGATGAAATTTTGAACTTTTCATGACCTTGTGGCAGTGAAATATTCAAAAGTCACACTTAAAATGTCTGCCATGTACTGATAACGAGATCAATGTTTCATTTCCAGAGCTTCAAATAGCTAGCGATATAATATGTTATCCTGTGAATAGAACAAAGGTAAGAATAAACTCAAAACCAACCAACATATTGTTAACAACACAAGACACCAAATAAAACTCTGTATGCTACTCAAAAGAAGATAAAGAACACCCGACTATCGTTAACCTATCATGGCTAGTGGGTGCTACAACACGCGGCCTTCCCATTCCGGGTGTTCTTTAACTTGTTTTGAGTAGTATTTGTTAGGCTAAATGTATGGAATTGAGGCAGTATTTTGTCTGCCATCTGTAAGTGGACACACGAGGACTTGATTTAAACACGGATCACCTTGGAACATGGGGACAAAGACATGCAACCTTTGGCGAATGAAGAAGGAGAATACATAAAATTAAAGCGTTTGAAGCAAGTAAAGAATGTCTAATGGTAATAAGTTAACATAAAAAACAACGTATGCACATGTCCGAGGCAAATGGTCTCGGTTTATAGGTTGAGTTTAGGAGTATGTTGTTTAAAACATTTTTTGGTCAACATCAAAGGAATTCTTGTCAATTCCGCTTTAGAAAAGTGGTTGTGTTGTAGCAGCTACTCCAGATATATTACCTTCAACTTAACGGTAAAACACTCACCGGTCGCTAATAGCCAGACACGGTTGTCTGCCCTTGATAACATGTATTTATGTGAAGCGATGAATCCAGACACATGACCGTTATAACAAACCCAACTGTTGCTCATTTTCATACACTAACTTCATCTTGATAGTGCTTGCAATGTCAATGCGTTCAACCAAAATTCAGCAAATTCAGTAAATTAACAATACTAGTATAAATACTCAGCTTCATTATTGAGGAGTCACGCAGATATTGAGAGAGAGAGAGAGAGAGAGAGAGAGAGACAGAGAAAGTGAGAGAGAGAGAAAGTGAGAGAGAGAGAGAGAGAGAGAAAGTGAGAGAGAGAGAGAAAGTGAGAGAGAGAGAAAGTGAGAGAGAGAGAAAGTGAGAGAGTGAGAGGTAGAGAGAGAGAGAGGTAGAGAGAGAGAGAGAGAGAGAGAGAGAGAGAGAGAGAGAGAGAGAGAGAGAATTGACTGTTACTTGTCATGTATTTAACGAGCATGGAGCTGAACGACTGGTTGCGTTCTGTCGTGTGTTTTTGGAATGTTTTTCATCACCTCCAATCTTGCACTATTCATTTTCTTAATAGTCGTTGTCCATGTTTCCAGTTTCATATAATCATCCAATCAGTGTGACAGGCATAAACAACATCTTATTCAGCTGCGTTGTTCATGTTTGATGCCTACATACTTAGGTGAGCCTTCAATAATGACGCTGAACATACTTATACCAATAATAGTATTTTTTTAAAACCCGACCAAACATTACTAGAGACTCGAACATGATACTTGGCCTAAAACCTAAACTATGTGATGGTTTAAGCCGTATCAAATGATACTGGTGACTGAAATTTAGACATCAGGCATCTTCCCAAGGCAAAGGTGCAAACTGACTTATAAAATCAATTAACACCTTTGCCGCGAGAAACTGGACATCAGATGGGATCATACATTAGCTTTGTAGGTGTATATCCTACATGTACATTACCATGAACAATTCATCATTATCCTTTACAAAGCATCATTTTTTTGTTATTGTGTATTACCTCATAGAATCATTGAAGGCTCTGCGCCAGTGTTCAGGATGTTCTCAAATTGATCACATGTCATTACTGAAACGATAAATGCTAAGGTGCAATGTTAAAGCTTAGTTGCTAAGATGAAATACTTAAGGGCCAAATACTCATGATGGAGACAGTATCGCCCAGAATACTGACGTCATTGAACAGGGGATAAGGGAAGTAACTCGTGTTGTTTCATACCAGCAATGACAGCATAATTGAACACGCCAGGCCGGCGAACGATGCCACGTTAAAGCTCGTTGATGACGTTGGGTCCGATGCCGTTGCTGTAAGGGAAATAGTCGAAGAATTATGGTCAGGTTTTCGAAAGTGCTTTATCCGTTCAACATCGTCTACGTGTTGTTTGTGCCTTAATTATTCAAACGATTTTTGTTATGCCGGGACCTTATTATTTCCGCTTCTGTTATCGTAATCTCTGTTTGAAATCTTAGACCGCCTGTCGTAAGCACATGCACACTTGAACATTATACAGGAGAGGAAACATAAAAATATGTAACTGTTTAAGGATAGACGAATCCAGGATAAAAGAACTGCTGCATTGTGCACTAATTATATATTATTTATTTACAATATTACCTGAAGTGAGTAGGAGTCCAACAATAGTCTACATGTCAAGGTTGTTAGACATGATTATTTCCCGGATGTTTTTTTAAATGTTTAAACAGTCACATCCGTACCAGTAAGGGTAAAAAAGTGACATATTTCTCGAACATCTTCGCGTCACTTAAAATACCCGCTTCAGTAATTTTTATTGCCATATTGGCAGCAAAACAAAACTCCAATACAGACTACCGTCTAACTATTCCAGCGGTTGTGATAAGGTACTTCCTGGCCGTCTGTTATTACAGATATTTCTCTACCAAAACTTGAATACTGAACCCCTTTTTATCTAAAATTATAAAACCGGAAAATTGTTCGTTCAATCATAACAAAAATCAACATTACACGTACAGTAAACTACGGTTATTACGACTCAAATTGACCACAAATGTAAGTTCGTTATAACCGTAGTTTGTTATAAGCATACATACAACATATATACAGCAAATAGCGGGGACAAAAAATTAAGTTCGTAATATCCGTCAGTTCGTTATAAGCGTGTTCGTTACAAACGTATTTTACTGTATATGTATTGTAAGGGAACCGAATTTAAATCCTGACGAAACCTTGGAAACAAATGCTAGCAAATAACAAGTTATCTTAACATTATTAAGCAGAGACAGCTAATTTACGTGAAATGGGTCGAAATGTACACTTTCATGAAGTATGAGTAATTCAAAATTCGAATTTCGTTGGCCTACGACGCAGGACTATTTTGTATATCTTACATCAAGAACGCGTTATAAAAAGGCTGGTTCTTTCTCTCGTCAGATTTTACCACAAATGTATACTCATGAAATGAACATTCCCTTACTTACCCGATGAACTGGCTTCCTTGGACACCTTGGTTGCACGGGGACAGTGCGTTTTAAACTGTGACACGGTGCACTTGATATTAAGATCACCTGAAACCAACATTTGAATACTTGTAAGTATATACCTAGTTGATAACGTTTGTTGCACACAAGGCCACATATCCTTTCATTGAGAACCGCCTCCGTGGTCTAGTGGTAGAGCGACCGCCCGGAGAGCGGAAGGTCCGGGGTTCGATCCTCGGCCGCGTCATGCCAAAAGACGTTTAAAGATGGTACTTGTTGTTACCCTGTCTAGCGCTCGGCATTAAGGGGCTAAAACAAGGACTGGTCGGCTCGGAGTCAGTATACTGTGTCTGAGTTGGGTATTCATGTTAAACTGCGGCATGGTATCTCAGTAAGCTAGCACTATAAATCGGCATCAGTCATAGTACAAGCAGCCACACACACACACGTGCATGCACGTCGCTATATAAGTGCAATAATCTTGGACGCGACGTTAAACCTAATTTCACCTCACCTCACCTCACCTCAACTTTCATGGAGATTCAATTCACTGGACTGTCACTGTGTTCATCGATTTTCAAACCTCTTACACCTTTTACTAAACTATTTAAATGTTAACGAAACGTTGTGTACATGAGGAAAACGACTGTACAACGTAGAGGCGCTGTCTACAATACGCCCCCAGTCTTTTAAGTAGGTAAGTGGTAACAGGCGATTAAACTGGATCGTGAGGCCTGGCTCTCTGTCATCGTGTCCCGACGGCGTGGATCGATTCTTATGTTTTCGGACACTTTGTTTGTTTTGTTTGTTTGTTGTTTAACGCCGCACTCAGCAATGTTCCAGCTATATGACAACGGTCTGAAAATAATCGAGTCTGGACCAGACTATCTAGTGATTGACATCATGAGCATCGATCAACGCAATTGGGATCGATGACATGCATCAACCAAGTCAGCGAGCCGGACCACCCGATCGCCTTTTACAGCAAGAATGGGTTGCTGAAGACCTATTCTACCCCGGAACTTCACGGGTCAAATGACGTTTGAGCCCAGTTTGGACGTGCAGAGGTTATTCACTGGTACATACTTCATATTTCTTTTAGGGGAAATATTCGGTCTCTGTACGACCATCGTCATCGTCTGTTTGGTTAATAACCTTAATAACGTTCTGCACTTGATCAGAATCCAATAATATGAGTGGGCGTCATCGTCCAGCAACTGATACCAGTAACAGTTTCATTGTCGTGTGTACATATATACGAATGATGGTGCTGATGTTTGAGCTTAACATCTTGTTGTTGAGTGCTCAGATGTCCAAACTGTATACATATATTTAAATTGAACGTTATAGGCGCAACATCAAAAGAAACAAACATGTACTTGAGAACGATTCAGTGAATGGTGTTGACGTCACAGTCAGCGCTATTCCACCTGAATCATTGTGGTCCGGACAAGGAAACCCGGGTCTGACCACACGTCAGAGAGCCGAAACATCCAAATGTCGTTTATGGGAACCTATTCTAATCCTGATGAGCATGGTGTTAATTGGGAACCTTCTGTTGGGTATATACTGAATGACATATTTACTGAGGGACTATTTGGATTTTGTTCCATAAACAATGTCTTGTAGATGACAAGTACTAAATAGTTAACATACTAGTTAACTAAGATAACATACGAACTGGTTCGTCAAACTGATAACAGAGTCTTACCTATGTAATGATTTATCCTGTCATCAAGGGAATCAATGCACTTGGCAGATAAATGGTAATTGTTGATACATGTGTTGGTCTCGCTGAATACCCTGTGAACAATAAACATGAGAGGTTTTTAATTAGGTGTACTTAGTATTTCAGTACTATCACTGAGTTTCAGCGCAATATGAAATGACAGACCAATGATCATAAACAAGTGATCTGGGACTCGAACCGTTAATCAGCGGATCCTGGTACGACTTGGTGGCTGGGATTCAAACCCTTAATCAGCGGATCCTGACACGACTTGGTGGCTGGGATTCGAACCCTTAATCAGCAGATCCTGACACGACTTGGTGGCTGGGATTCGAACCCTTAATCAGCGGATCCTGACACGACTTGGTGGCTGGGATTCGAACCCTTAATCAGCGGATCCTGACACGACTTGGTGGCTGGGATTCGAACCCTTAATCAGCGGATCCTGGCACGACGTAGTGACTGTGTGATCGGGGATTCGAACCCTTAATCAGCGGATCCTGACACGACTTGGTGGCTGGGATTCGAACCCTTAATCAGCGGATCCTGACACGACTTAGTGGCTGGGATTCGAACCCTTAATCACCGGATCCTGGCACGACGTAGTGACTGTGTGATCGGGGATTCAAACCCTGAATCAGCGGATCCTGACACGTCTTGGTGGCTGGGATTCGAACCCTTAATCACCGGATCCTGGCACGACGTAGTGACTGTGTGATCGGGGATTCAAACCCTGAATCAGCGGATCCTGACACGACTTGGTGGCTGGGATTCGAACCCTTAATCAGCGGATCCTGGCACGACGTAGTGACTGTGTGATCGGGGATTCGAACCCGTAATCAGCGGATCCTGACACGACTTGGTGGCTGGGATTCGAACCCTTAATCAGCGGATCCTGACACGACTTAGTGGCTGGGATTCGAACCCTTAATCAGCGGATCCTGGCACGACGTAGTGACTGTGTGATCGGGGATTCAAACCCTGAATCAGCGGATCCTGACACGTCTTGGTGGCTGGGATTCGAACCCTTAATCAGCGGATCCTGGCAAGACGTAGTGACCGTGTGATCGGGGATTCGAACCCTTAATCAGCGGATCCTGGCAAGACGTAGTGACCGTGTGATCTCGAATCGAACCCTTAATTAGCGGATCCTAGCACGACCTAGTGACTGTGCCTGTGTGTATGATCATCGTTGTCACAATGACATGGCCAGTGGCCAGTGCAGTCGTTCGAGTTAGTCTTTACCAAGTGTTGGCTGGAACACCAGACATCCCACATCCTTCACACGGGCAGCTGCAACAGGTGATGGGTATCATCTTACAGACATTTAACTGTTATCTACTCACGTGCAGTTCAGCAAATCCAGTCTGCACGTCCTGGATGCATCTAGTTCAGGTTTCTTGCTGCCATGTGCCATGGCGAACTCCAGAAGACACTTGTTGATATTCTGAACCTCGGCGGAAACACAGGATTGCTCCTGTCGCCGGCTAACTGAAACAAGAGTTAGACAGCCCACACATAATATGATTGATTGTTAAAGTTTGTTTATTTTTTTCTTTGTTGTTTAACACCGCTAAACTTGGCTTATATCATGTAAACAATAACTCTAATGTTTTGGGGATTTTATGTTGTTTAACGCCGCACTGAGCAATATTCCAGCTATATGACGGCGGTCTGTAATTAATCGAGTCTGGACAAGACAATCCCGTGATTGACTTCATCAGCATCGATCCACGTGACATGGGGATATGATGACATGCTTCAACCAATTCAGGGAACCTGACCACCCGATCCGGTAATTTACATAAGGCACTTGCCATTTGCAGTCTCTGAACCACGACCATCTCCATTGTGAAACTTGAGTAATAAATCTATATCAAGTCCGCTCCAGCTATCTCATGAAAACTGTTACTTCTTGGAGTATTTTGTAATTACAGAGGATTATCAAAACACCGATCACGTTCTGTTTGAACCATCAAAATCTGGAGTGCTTCCTTCTTTGTAATAACGAAGTCCAGGGACTGGATATTCTAAATAAGGTGTTGCATCCATTGAACCTAAGCTAGTCAACATATCAGGAAAATTAATCTTAGTCGCCAGGACAAATTAGCATAAGCATCAATTGCTCATTCCTACTGTTTCTGCAGATGCCATGGAGAAAACATTTGACCGGCGATAAGTGTTGTGGAATGATGACATCATTGTTGGGTCGAAGCTCGCATTATAGAGTTATATTCCCAACAAATCAATCATATTGACGATAAAGAAATGCACTCGGTTAATACTCAGTGTACAATTGTTTCTGACAGCGAAATAAATAATAAACAGTCAAGCACTGTCATTTGAGAAAGTACTGGAAAAAAGGGATCGGCGAAAAAGGACCGAGGGTTTTGCACTGGTTTGAAAATGGCCGAGATTGTCTAGCGATGAAGGGGACTCCTCAATTACTTTTTCACTAACTGTCCGCCTTACCTGTGGGCATGGAGACACATGGTTACAATGTGTGAAGCCCGTTTCTGGTGTCTCCCGCCGTGATAGTGCTGGAATATTGCCGAAAGCGGCGTTAAGCTATGCTCACCATCTATTCTGAAATATTGCCGTATGATCCGATATTTTTCAACCGATATACAATTTTGTCATGCTTCTGGTACTATTATTTTCAAAATAAAATTACCAGCTGAACTGATTTCTTTGGAGACTTTGGTTGCTGCCGGACAGTGCATGTTGAAATGACGTGCAGTGCAGTTGATCTGTAGGTTAGCTGAAACAGATTGAGATTGAACTGTGTCAATAAGATGTTGTTTATAAGGTTAAACGGCTATAACAGTTTCCAAAATGACAATATGGCAACAAAACATATGGTATGTTATTCCATATAATTTTTATAACGATACCCCAGTGACGATCTTGGTTAAAATTGGATTTCGACAACCCATGTTTGTCGTAAGAGGCGACCAGCGGGATCGGGTGGTCAATATTGCCGAAATTTCGAACTGTTTCTCGTAACTTCGATTATTTTTTCGTAAATATTACTATTTCATCGAAAGTTTTACACATTGACTGTTGCACTACAGCTTGACACCAATAACGAAAAGGTTAGGTCGACCAATACCTACAGCGACACATGCCCACAGGGAATAATAGCTATAGAGCATGTTGTTTTTTCGCTTCAGTCCACAATAACATGACGGCTATACCACTTTATTCCAAGGTTAAAGGCAGGAGCTGAGACAGTCACTGATGCACAAAGATGTTTATATGACATCATAGGCGATTGTCTGACTTTTATTTACACCCAGGCCGCTATCAGCGGCATCAGAGGTACACAACTATTTCAACAACATAATACATATAAATATAGAATAGATACAAAACATCTTGGCCGACCATGAATGCATATTTATACAGATTCACTAGGGCAGCAATATATGTGCAATTCAAAAAGAAGGAGAGACACTTGATAGGTTTAAACAATGTCATGATGATTTTACAGAATTTGGACAGTTTTCTCAATGTTTCTAATAGTGACTTATTGAAAGGCAAATTCATTTTATGCATATTTGGTTTGATGTTGTAGAAATCTGTGTAGAAAATGTTTTCTTTCGTTTTCTAAAGATGGGCAAATAAACAAATAATGGAATTCATCCCCTATGTCAGATAATTTCAAAGTTGGCATTTCCTTTCGGTAAAAGGTATTTTTCAGCATCTCCCAGTTTAAATAGGTAGATTACGGTTACAAGTTCTAAACTTAAGTAAGACTCGCCAAAGGCAATCAATTTTTATGATGCTATACATTGTGCCTTTTGAAGACTTACCACGGTAGGCATTATAGATAGTAACCGCCATCATAACGACCTAAAGAACCATACACGGCTGCTTCGTGTCAAGCCAGCATACAAACACCCTTTGGTTAAGAGGGTATTCACAAATGAATGAAGATGCTTATATGTCTACGAATATATCTTTGTCTTACCTATGTATCCATTTATTATTTCTTCAAGAGAATCAATGCACCTGTCAGATAGATGCTGGTTGTTGATGCATGTGTTGGTTTCGCCTAGAGTCCTGTCAACAGTCAATGCATGCTCACCATTATCAAAGTGAGTAACAGTAACTTGGGTTTAATGCCGCTTTTAACAGACTGAATATTCCAGTTTCGTATGGTGTATAAGCTGAATGTTGTAGGTGATGCAGATATCTGACGTTTATCACTTTGGTGAAACCCAAGGCCATGGGTATGGTGCTGACAGTCCTAGGGGCGAACTGGGATTCGAACCCTCAATCATATGTGGCTAGTGTGCCCAAGGGACGCAACTCTGCACAGCGACTTGGCCATTCATGTCCAGATTATAAAAAGTGTGATATGAGGTTAAATGGGGTTTAAGGTCGCGTCCAAGATTATTGCACTTATATAGCGACGTGCATGCACGTGTGTGTGTGTGTGTGTGTGTGTGTGTGTGTGTGTGTGTGTGTGTGTGTGTGTGTGTGTGTGTGTGTGTGTGTGTGCTTGTACTAGTCCGGACGAATGCCTATTTATAGTGCTAGCTCACTGAGATACCATACCGCAGTTCAACATGAATACCCAACTCAGACACAGTATACTGACTCCGAGCCAACCAGTCCTTGTTATGGCCCCTTAATGCCGAGCGCCAGACAGGGTAACAACAAGTACCATCTTTTAACGTCTTCTGGTATGACGCGGCCGGGATCGAACCCCGGACCTTCCGCTCTCCGGGCTGACACTCTACCACTAGACCACGGAGGCGGTCCATTATAATAATAAGTGCGTATATCACCAGCGCACATAATTACTCACTGTTACATACAAACTCGTGTATGGGATAGTCTGTATGCTATCCCCGTCTTCACGGAGAGCGGAAGGTCCGGGGTTCGATCCCCGCCCGCGTCATACCAAATGACGTTCAAAGCTGCTACTTGTTGTTACCCTGTCTGGCGCCCAGCATTAAGGGGATAAAACAAACACTGGTCGCCTCGGAGTCAGTATACTGTGTCTGAGTTGGTTATTCATGTTAAACTGCGAAATGGTATGTCAGTAATCTAGCACTATGAATCGGAAACAATCCGGACAAGTAGAAGCAGCCACACACACACACTGCCGTGGAGGACATATTAAAAATAGAATGGACAAATCGGGCTGTCATCATTAAGTGGGGAAGCATGTTGCTAGGGTTGGGGTCGTTGGTGATGAGATGACATTTATTCAATAGGACATGGTAAAAACTCAATCATCACTCAATCAATCACTAATAGAGTCAGTCAATCACCCCTGTAAGTGACACCTGGCGTGTCCACAAACCATCATCATGAATATAGGATTTTGACATTCCTGAGCTATACCTTGTCAGTATTTTGTCTGTGCAGTTTAAAGCAGTGTGACTAAAATGTGTGCAAATGCTATGGAAGAAAGTTTATGTTTTTGATGTTAATCGGCTCTGGCGCTGAAAGCTGTTGTATTGAGAAGCTGGAGAGTTGGAAACAAAGGACCAGGAATAGGAATAACCTGCCCACCCATGAGTATCATGGGCAACGGCTCTGACTCTTAAACCCAAGCACATACAACTTACCCTACAACTAATAAAGATGAAACTACTTGAAATGTAAAAGTTAAAACTTTGTTCTTGTCACAAGAATATGATGCTTCAGTACAGTTTCTGAGATGTTCACAAACGATGACGACAACGGCGACGTCGGACGATGGACAAGCAGGCCATGTCATGTTTACTTGACTTTTAGTCAGGTGAGCTAAAAAAATTAAAACATGTTTTTCATTTTTTTAAATAATAATCAAAAGTAATAGTCTGTCCAACGTTTAAGATCAGGACATTCTGGTGAATACTCACGAACAGTTAAGCAAATCTACTCTGCATGTTTTCGAAGAAACCAGTTCAGACCGGTGATGTTGGTGTGCCACGACGAAACTGAAGAGACAGTTGTTGACGTTGATGGCTTCGTATGTCTTGCACGCATCCTCGGCTCCGCTCACAGCTCCAGCTGTACCATGCAAAAAAATAGGAAAGGAGACATGAAGGCTTACCGTAGTTCTGCTCCTCGATGTTCTATTTTGGAATCATCAGCACCTCCGAAAAGAATTGTTCAAATAAATAATTCAAAACAACATAGACAGAGCTGCATGCGTAATGTGGTTAAACCTGCTTCCCCTTTACGCGTATAACAGTAAAAATCAATGTCAGTGCTTGCTTACATGCACAAGCACGGAAAACATCGGTAATCGTTTCCTTGCTAAGTTTTTCTTCCAAAAATTTGGAAACACTGGCGTCGGGTCGTTAGGTTTGTAAAATACATTCATGTTTCAATTTGTAGAAATCTGTTATATACACAGCTTCTAAATTCCGACTCAAACACACCCACATTCAGAAAAATACATTATCGCATATGATATGTGTCTTGTAGGTATTTTTATGTTGAATATGTGCAGATGGGTGGGTGGGGGTACCTATATGGAGACGCCGTGGTTATTTTCAGCGCTGTGAATTTACATGTAACGCGTCACTGCGTTGATGACATCATTGCCCCACACTTTCGGCGTTATAAGTCCCCCGGATACACGCATACTTAATTATTTTTTGTTTCATTTTTGTTTTAAAAGTCATATGAAACGTTGACCTTGCTCTCTATCAATAACTCTGTTTGCCTGTCCCTGCCAATCGCTGAGATCATTCACAAGTTACAGTCAACTACGGTTATAACGAACTCGCTTATAACGAACTGACGGATATAACGAACTTACTATTTGGTCCCGACTATTTGCTGAAGTTATGCTGTATATATGCTTATAACGAACTACGGTTATAACGAACTGAAATTAGAAGTCCCTTTGAGTTCGTTATAACCGAAGTTTACTGTATTTACAAGCCGCCACGACATAGCTTGGCTACTGTTGACTGCGGCGTAAAATAACAATCAACATTGTATCAATATTTAATTTATCAATCAATATATACACTCGTCCGACTTTTTTCTGCTTGCATATTATACAGACTGAGTCAGTTTAACAACAATGTCATAGAGTGTTTCCGTTGTCACAATGACGTCACAAATGTGTACAGTAAAGGACGGTTATAACGAACTCAAAGGGACTACTAAATTTAGTTCGTTTTAACCGTAGTTCGTTATAAGCATATATACAGCATAACTACAGCAAATAGTCGGGACCAAAAAAGTAGTTCGTTATATCCGTCAGTTCGTTATAAGCGTGTTCGTTATAACCGTAGTTTACTGTATTAGGTTTTGCTCGGGACTTCGATCAATGAACATCCTAGTCAGGTTATTTTCGGTATGACGTTACCCTGGAAACAAGGTCGACTCTAAACTTGGCTTATATCATGTAAACAATAACTCTAATGTGTGTTTGTTTTTTAACGCCGCACTTAGCAATATTCCAGCTATATGACAGCGGTCTGTAAATAATCGAGTCTGAACAGATCAATCCAGTGATTGACACCATGAGCATCGCTCTACGGGGGTATGATTAAAACGCTACAATATTATTACCCCAGTCAGTGGATCAGTGTGCACTCGAGACTCATTCTCAGCTCCATGGGGAGTATACAACCGAAAGTGCCTGTGAGGCGCTAGAAGGTTAACAACCACATTGCAATCTCATTCTACCGGGTACCCATGCACTGCTGGGTGAACACATTTCCACCAAAGTCACTTGCCTAAGGAGACACCATATGTGTTACATGTGCTTCTGTGTTGGGCAGGGCCGAAGCCCTAGACACTCTCAGGAGCCAAATGCCGAACACGATCCCCAAACCAAGGACTCTCCGCAACCAACGTTGCTTAACTTCACGTGATTTGTGACCTGTTGAAATATTTCCGAGTGCGGCGTAAAATATCAAACAAACACTAATCCGGAAATCTTCTCGGAGGATAATTACAGTTGTAAAGCTTCCGTCCGGACAACCGGATTATTGTTGAGTGTGGCGTTAAACAACAAAAACCATAATGATACATGCTGATGGACACGACATGTGCAACATTGCTACGACAGTGGTCATCGGAGACTCTAGTGCTGGAATCATCCATGTAAGATTGCGCTGCATGGGTCGTCTGGTGTCAGAGGCAATGTCAAGTTTCCGACAAACGGACGGACAGAATCACTCAAAAGGCCGATATTGATCTGACTGTGAACTTCGAACACTTTTTGTGGGTGGGGATTGGGTAGGGGAGGTTGAAGAGACTCAGGTAACTAGTTAGGGGTAGGGGAGGTTGAAGAGACTCAGGTAACTAGTTAGGGGTGGGGGTGGTTAAAGTGAGTCAGGTAACTAGTTAGGGGTGGGGGAGGTTGAAGAGACTCAGGTAACTAGTTAGGGGTAGGGGAGGTTGAAGAGACTCAGGTAACTAGTTAGGGGTGGGGGTGGTTAAAGTGAGTCAGGTAACTAGTTAGGGGTGGGGGTGGTTGAAGTGAGTCAGGTAACTAGTTAGGGGTGGGGGTGGTCGAAGTGAGTCAGGTAACTAGTTAGTGGTGGGGGTGGTCGAAGTGAGTCAGGTAACTAGTTAGGGGTGGGGGTGGTTGAAGTGAGTCAGGTAACTAGTTAGGGGTGGGGGTGGTTGAAGTGAGTCAGGTAACTAGTTAGGGTTGGGGGTGGTCGAAGTGAGTCAGGTAACTAGTTAGGGGTGGGGGTGGTCGAAGTGAGTCAGGTAACTAGTTAGGGGTTGGGGTGGTCGAAGTGAGTCAGGTAGCTAGTTAGTGGGGGGGGTGGTCGAAGTGAGTCAGGTAACTAGTTAGTGGTGGGGTTGGTCGAAATGAGTCAGGTAACTAGTAAGTGGTGGGGGTAGTCGAAGTGAGTCAGGTAACTAGTAAGTGGTGGGGGTGGTTGAAGTGAGTCAGGTTACTAGTAAGTGGTGGGGGTGGTCGAAGTGAGTCAGGTAACTAGTAAGTGGTGGGGTGGTTGAAGTAAGTCAGGTAACTAGTAAGTGGTGGGGTGGTTAAAGTGAGTCAGGTAACTAGTAAGTGGTGGGGTGGTTGAAGTGAGTCAGGTAACTAGTTAGTGGTGGGGGTGGTCGAAGTGAGTCAGGTAACTAGTTAGTGGTGGGGGTGGTCGAAGTGAGTCAGGTAACTAGTTAGTGGTGGGGGTGGTCGAAGTGAGTCAGGTAACTAGTAAGTGGTGGGGGTGTATGAAGTGAGTCAGGTAACTAGTTAGTGGTGGGGGTGGTCGAAGTGAGTCAGGTAACTAGTAAGTGGTGGGGGTGGTTGAAGTGAGTCAGGTAACTAGTAAGTGGTGAGGTGGTCGAAGTGAGTCAGGTAACTAGTTAGTGGTGGGGGTGGTCGAACTGAGTCAGGTAACTAGTAAGTGGTTGGTGTGGTCGAAGTGAGTCAGGTAACTAGTAAGTGGTGGGGGTGGGTGATGGGAAGGTAACTAGTAAGTGGTGGGGGTGGTTGAAGTGATTCAGGTAACTAGTTAGTGGTGGGGGTGGTCGAAGTGAGTCAGGTAACTAGTAAGTGGTGGGGTTGTATGAAGTGAGTCAGGTAACTAGTTAGTGGTGGGGGTGGTCGAAGTGAGTCAGGTAACTAGTTAGTGGTGGGGGTGGTCGAACTGAGTCAGGTAACTAGTAAATGGTTGGTGTGGTCGAAGTGAGTCAGGTAACTAGTTAGTGGTGGGGGTGGTTGAAGTGAGTCAGGTAACTAGTAAGTGGTGGGGGTGGTTGAAGTGAGTCAGGTAGCTAGTAAGTGGTGGGGGTTGTTGAAGTGAGTCAGGTAACTAGTTAGTGGTGGGGGTGGTTGAAGTGAGTCAGGTAACTAGTAAGTGGTGGGGGTGGTTGAAGTGAGTCAGGTAGCTAGTAAGTGGTGGGGGTGGTTGAGGTGAGGTGAGGTGAAATTGGGTTTAACGTCGCGTCCAAGATGATTGCACTTACATAGCGACGTGCATGCACGTGTATGTGTGTGTGTGGCTGCTTGTACTAGTCCGGACTGATGCCGATTTATAGTGCTAGCTCACTGAGATACCATGCCGCAGTTTAACATGAATACCCCACTCAGACACAGTATACTGACTCCGAGCCGACCAGTCCTTGTTTTAGCCCCTTAATGCCGAGCGCCAGACAGGGTAACAACAAGTACAATCTTTTAACGTCTTTTTGTGTGACGCGGCCCGGGATCGAACCCTGCACCTTCCGCTCTCCGGGCGGACGCTCTACCACAAGACCACGGAGGCGGTCGGGGGGTGGTTGAAGTGAGTCAGGTAACTAGTTAGTGGTGGGGATGGTTGAAGTGAGTCAGGTAGCTAGTAAGTGGTGGGGGTTGTTGAAGTGAGTCAGGTAACTAGTAAGTGGTGGGGGTGGGTGATGGGAAGGTAACTAGGTGGTAAATGTGGTAAATGTGGAACATTATTTACATGATCAACGGCCAAAATAGGACCTAATGAAAGACATAAATGTTGTAGCTGCTTAAAGAGCAACTACAGTGTATAGAATCCCCGCTCACCCGTGAAGATTCGGGGTAGAATAGGTCTTCAGCAACCCATACTTGTCGTAAACGGCGACTATGTTTGTCGTAAGAGGCGACTAATGGGATCGGGTGGTCAGGCTCGCTGACTTGGTTGATGCATGCCATCGTTTCCCAATTGCCTGGGTCGATGCTAATGATGTCAATCACTAGATTGTCTTGTCCAGACTATTTACAGACCGCCGTCATATAAATTGTAACATTGCTGAGTGCGGCGTTAAACAACAAACAAACAAAGAAATCATCGATCAATTCAGGCGTCATTCTATCGCCGAAATCATTCTTTCACTTCCATTCCCCTGCCCTTTGGATTTTATTTTGGTGTGAACATGCCTGGACAGTAAGTGCATATACAACCCAAGTGTCAAACATATCACTGTTTGAGTCGCGCATGTCAAACACATCCTTCAGTTACCAATAACAAGCACCTGGGCATAGAGAAATAGGTGCACGCTAAAATGATTACAATGCAATATTTTTAAAAAGCACCGTGATGCGCAAATGTGCTGAAGGTGACACGACCAACCAAAGTCAAAAACAGGAACGCCAGCCTTTTTTTCACTGCGGTTTGAGGTGAAGGATGACGGTGTTTTGAATACATGCAGAAATGGCATCCGTGAAGATCCATCTGGGCCATTCAAAAGAAATTTATTTTGCACCTTGCGCATCTGTCATGTGCTCTCATAAGTTTCCGTGCGTCTGCAGAGTAGATGAGCGTCGTATGTACTCATCTATAAAGACCTCATTCACAGCATCTGCGCCAAAATGAGTTTACATCAGAAGGATTGTGTCCCATCAGCAATAGTTGCAGACACATCCGAGACGAGACACTTTTTGTTCTATATTGCAGTCTGGCAATATGACCGTGGAAAGATCTACCGACGTTTTGAACATATTTCTCGGGAACAGATCATACACAAAGCTCAGAGCGTTGTTCGGCCTTAAAGCTAAAAGGCAGATGTAGCATTGGCCCCGGGTGATATAAAATCGTATCTTATAACTAACCTGACACGAATAAGTCTACTACTATTAACGTTTGTCCTTGTTTCAATCGAAGAGGGCCGATATTTTTGGCAAAAGGAATAACAGCGATCACGCTCAGAGCCTAGCAATCTACATCACTGAGGGTGACGTCATGCAAAGAGATAGCACCGTCCGGCTAGAATTACCATCATTATTGTTCATATCCGGAGGACATATCTGTCCATTTACTGCCGTTAATATTCCACTGAGGATCAGGTTTATTTGGGATAAGGGCTTGAAAATCATTCTATTCGCGCTTATACTAAACAGAGTGCAGCAATAAACCCAAGACGTCACCAAATACAATAAAATTAAATAGCAGAGCTCATATGAGACAGGGATTTTTTATTAGACAAATAACTGCCGCACGCCGGCATGCTGATCGGCAAACTCCTGAGAGTTTTATGCTTAATCCCGGACCAATTCAAGGAAATGAACATTAAACGTGCCTTAACTGCTTCTCGCGAGTTTGTGTCTCTGTCACATTCCCCAACACAACCCGTCAGTTATTTCTTTATATACTCAACAACATTAGAAACGCCTCAAGCGTTACAATTAAAGCATTTCAAAATAGTAATTTGAAACTTGTAATGTTCAGTGTGATGGATTCAGGTTTTGACACTGCTAAAGATCAAAATGATGTTTACTCTTATGAACACATGTCATGTAAGAAGGCTTATTACGATCATAGTGGTAATATGTATTGGAACAAAATACCAAGGATAAGGTCGTAAACATCCTAAACATGCCCCTCATTAGTACTGGTTTCGTGCGTTTCAAATAGGTAAACGTGTTATTCATATATCATAAGTGTTGAAGGATTTACGAGATACATCATCAACTTAAAATCAATAACTGGATGTATCCCACTGTGTAGCCTTATGGTTCGAACAGATACCTGTATCAATCACAGGATTGTCTGGTCCAGACTCGATAATTTACAGACCGCCGTCATATAGCTGGTAATTGCTGAGTACGGCGTTAAACAACAAACAAAACAAACCAACAGACACCTAATCGACACTGTAGTCTGATGATGTCAAATCTCCCTTGTTTCGGAAAACCCAACGTGTAGTCCATGGTCCTTTGGTTAATAATAGTTCATTGTACACCTATAGCTGAGAGACCTTGTTGCAGACAAAGTGTTGATATCATTATTGTTTGTTTGTTTGTTGTCGAACATCACACCCAAACATACACGCTGTATGACGGCGTTTCAGTGTATGCCGCAGCGCCAACGGTGTATTGGTACCCTTATTCTTTTGTTTCTGTGTTTGTTTGTCTGTTTGTTTGTTTGTTTGTCTGTTTGTTTGTTGTTTAACATCGCTCTCAAACATCCCAGCTGTATGGCGGCGTTTCCCTGTATACCTACGGTTGAGGAACCGCATCGCCAACAATTTATTGGTACCTTTATTGTTATATTTGTTTGTTTATTGTTAACACCGCAACATTCCAGCTTTATGACGACGACCCGTAAATATTCTAGTCTGGACCAGACGCACTAGTGGTTAATATTATGATCAAAGTCCCAATCGGTCGGCGGTACGATGGCGAGCATTCCTCGAACCTGACTATCCCTCGTATAACAGGCATATGTAACTTTGGACCTATTCTAAAGTGGACTTTCCACGGGGCAATACCTTTCAGCTGAGTGAGTGTGTTGAATGCTCAAGGAAGACAATGCTGGCAAGGCATATGTGGCATGGTATATGTGGGGATTCGAAGCTGTGTCTTTGTCCACTAGGCTACCTCACCACGTCTTCATATCGTCAATGTGTGAATTCTTGTTACTCTTTTTATGTCCTCTTTGATTTTACTGAGTTACCTCACACCTATCGTGATAAATGAACGGACACAGGGCAATACGTTGTGTTGGATTAATGACAGGTACCCGTCTCTCAAACGACAGTTCAATGTCTTCAGTGTGGGTTTCTTAAACAACAATTCTATGTAATCACGTGGGTCTCTCAAACAGTAAATATATCGTCACGTAATCTAGGGTCTCTTAAACAACAGTTATATGTAATCTAGGGTCTCTCAAACAACAGTTATGTGTAATCTAGGGTCTCTTAAACAACAGTTATGTCATCTCGGGTCTCTCAAACAGTTATATGTAATCTAGGGTCTCTCAAACAACAGTTATATGTAATCTAGGGTCTCTCAAACAACAGTCCTATGTAATCTAGGGTCTCTCAAACAACAGTTCTATGTAATCTAGGGTCTCTCAAACAACAGTTCTATGTAATCTAGGGTCTCTCAAACAACAGTCCTATGTAATCTAGGGTCTCTCAAACAGTCCTATGTAATCTAGGGTCTCTCAAACAACAGTTCTATGTAATCTAGGGTCTCTCAAACAGTTTTATGTAATCTAGGGTCTCTCAAACAACAGTTCTATGTAATCTAGGATCTCTCAAACAACAGTCCTATGTAATCTAGGGTCTCTCAAACAACACATACATTGCAGATCCTATCATGCCATCAATGCATCGGTCTGTTATTTTTCTGTGGATGTACTTCAATGACACAATTTGCTTTCGAGACCATTTTCCATTCGACGTCTGCATAGCTATTACTTACTCATATCTTACATATAATAAAACAAAGCACATGAATCAGTATCACATGCGCCGTCATGACCCTGCGGTCGGCGAAGGGGAACTGATAACAATGCATATTTCAACAATATGTAAATTTCCGCTTTTGGAGCGTTCTAATGAGTAACTACTTGAACGCGGAGTATGATATTCCTGATGCAATATCCTCTCTGCGAATACTACGTTTCAACTTTAACTTCACTCCTATTAAGCCTTGGAATGCCACTTTGCAAACAAAATGGGTTTAATTTTGTTCAAGGTCCACAAATCTAAACCCAAGGACCTGAAAAACTAAACAGGCGTAACGCTGCAGTGCCATAGTATTGGCTTTTACCGTTAGAAAATATTCAAACCCCGTTAAAGCGCAAATGCGTATTCTTTCATCACAGATATTTCACTTTGCCTAATCCGACTAATACTGTTTTGTAGACGTGTCATAAAACGTTTTAGACATATGAAATTATGCGGTCAATAATATTCACTATGTCCAACTATCAGCCTTATAACGAGGATATTTTTCGGGGATGCGAGGACAGAGCTACGAGAATGAATAAGATGTATTCAATAAATTAACGGAGAAGCTAAAATAACGTGAACAGCACATGACACAGTCTCTAGTCCACCTCTCAAAGCATATAGGATATATAAAGCATTATACTCACCAATTCCTAAAATCAAGAACGCTAAGGCGCATAGAATGCATTTCAATTCCATCGCTGACCGATGCCCTCGTTACAATGGCTGACAGCAACTCCGAGCTCGCTCGAACGCACCTCACCCCTTCTCGGCTAACTCTCCCAGAATTATTCCGGCGTTGCGGGAGCCATATCCTGCCAAAGGGAAGGCCGCATTGTTTTTTTAACCAAGCAAAAAAAATCATGATGGGCTCAACAATAAGGGTAGTGTTGTGACAAGGGAATATTGATAGTTTCTTTATTTGACAAAGACGTGCTGTTTTCATTTAAACTGAAAGGGTTAAACCCAAGACGCTGTTACATCGATCGATGTTAGTGTTCCGCTTTTGGGCCCGCATGGGTCCTACATGTGTGTTTTAAAATTATCAGCAGTTGATATGATTTATGATGCTAAATGTCATTGATGACTCAGTTTGTTAAAATCTATTTAACGCTTATGAGTCAAACGATATTAGTTTCTGATCGATACTTCTCAAATCAAACAGCGGCATCATCATTAAACGACCATTAACATAGAACGGTTTATCGCAGCTTTTGGCACCGATGCTGAACTGTGAAAAGGCAATTACTTTAGAAAACGTTAAATAATACCCGTGTTTTCCCCTGAATAAATTTACCGAAACATAAGTGCAGTTTTATTCATAAACAAATAGGCACAGTCGTGTGCTACAGGACCTATTTAAAACACACACAAAATCGTTTCCCTGCAGCTTTAATTATTCGAGGCATTCAGCTTTAAAATCCGTAATGTATTTTCATCTTAATGGCTTGCTGGCCCGAAACTTTACATGTCAAAATCAGCCAATCAAAAGAACCCCTAAAAGCAAAACGGAGGAGATTTATCTTGTGCGACTGAATACGCTTTTGACACGGCACCCCTTGAATTCGATCACGTTGAAGAAAAAAACCAAAGTAAATATAGACACTGGATATTGTTCATCGACCGCTATCTATGCAGGATGTAAGTTGGCCTGACTAGCTATAGGTACTGAATATGCGAGAAAAGCCAGAAACATCCACATCAGAACAATGATACATTTGCATATCAATAACTAGTCTCGCGGGAAGCAGTCTTCTTTCTTTTTTCTTAATTACCACATTCAGATTCTATAACACGACTGCGGTCAAACCCCATTAACTCGAACTTCATTAACTCGAAATAGCAAAAGGTCGGTGTCCTCGAAGAATCTTTCTTTATCATCATTCTACCATAACTTTGGAGAATACCCAACTTTGATTGGCCAATTAAAGGGTTCAGATCACAATTAATGACTTATTTATGGCGTATTCAACCGTGACGTTGGGGTTTCGAATCACAATACATACGTAACATGTATTGAGCGCACATTGGTCAGTCGGCTCTAACCTGTGTGAGTCAGAACATGTACAAACTGACAGATGGCAAACACTAACCATTGTACGTGTCAGACAGGGCGATCAGAAGTGCCAATATTGGGCAGTACTCGACTGACATAAACGGGAGCGGGAATGCAGAGGGGTTAAAATACACACACAAACACACAAACACACACACACACACACAAACACACACACACATTATTTTTAGGCATATACCAGTCATGTTGATGTATACAAAGTACATATAACTAGGGGCGGTCGGATAGCCTTGTGGTTAAAGCGTTCGCTCGTCACGCCAAACACCCGGGTTCGATTACAATATGTGAAGCCTACTTCTTGCGCCCCGCCGAGACATTGCTGGCTCTCTCCCTCTCTCTCATATAACTACATCACTTGGTTACATGTTTTCCAAAAAAATAACAATTAATCGATAAATGTTCAACTAATAAATTAAAAATTGTTGATCGTATTAGAATTTACTGGCATTTAAAGAGCAACATCCACATCGCTATCGTTTTCCAAAAAGCTTAAAGGTCTGCAATATGTTTCTGGCCGTAATTCTATAAAGGTTGTCACCGCCTCCGTGGTCTAGAGATAGAGAGCGTCCGCCCGGAGAGCCGAAGGTCCGGGGTTCGATCCCCGGCCGCGTCATACCAAAAGACATTAAAAGATGGTACTTGTTCTTACCCTGTCTGGCGGTCGGCATCAAGGGGCTAAAACAAGGCCTTGTCGGCTCGGAGTCAGTATACTGTGTCTGAGTGGGGTATTCAGGTTAAACTGCGGCATGGTATCTCAGTTGGCTAGCACCAGAAATCGGCATCAGTCCGGACTAGTACAAGCAGCAACACACACACACGCATGCACGTCGCTATATAAGTGCAATCATCTTGGACGCGACGTTAAACCCAATTTAACCTCACCTATAAATATTGTTATACGCCGCAGTGAACAACATTCCAGATATTTCACGGAGAGTACACACATACCATACACACCCCTGGTTGATAGCAAGAGCAAGGTCATACAGTGTGACCCGTGAAGATCCGGGGTAGAATAGGTCTACAGCAACCCATGCTTGCCGTAAAAGGTGACTATGCTTGTCGTAAGAGGCGTCTAACGGGATCGGGTGGTCAGACTCGCTGGCTTGGTTGATGCATGTCATCGTATCCCAAAATTGTGTGGTCAGTACCACGAGCACGTGGACGTTGCTCACAATATCAATCACTGGTTTGTCTGGTCCAGACTCGATTAATTTCAAGTCGCCGCCATATAGCTGGAGTATTGCAGATTGCTGTGTTAAATCCATCAGAGTACACACAAAATATCGAAAGGAATCGAACCTGCGTCTTTGGTGTGATGGTCGAGTTTATAAACCACATTGAAACCCTACACTCAAAGACTATAACATGTACTAGCATCAGACATCAAATAGATCTGAAACAGGTACAATAATAATCATAATCATAATAATAATCTGCACAACTCCATACAACGTATGATCAAGGCGCAACAACAAAAATGCTTTAATCAAAAATGCGTCAAGAAGTTTTCAAGAGACTCTTGGCTTAGATCATAAGTTCCAGTGGACGTTTCAGACAATTTCCAAGGACGTTCAGCATCGCGTTCTGACAAATTGCGCAAGATAATATATGCTGCTGTAAGTTGGACGCACGCTGGTCATTGTTAGAATGAAGGTATTCCTGGTTGTTATTGAGTTCTTATTTCACTTCTTTCGAACGCAGCCCTGAGGAAACTTATGTGGTATCTGCGCAGCATCTGACTGATTGTAAGCGGCCAACAAAACATCGATTTTTTTGTATTTTGTCATTCTGAAATAAGCAATGTCACACGCCACTTTTATATTGATTTAATGTAATACCTGAAAAAATACAGGCATAGACAGGAATTCTGCTGGTCTCAAATTGAGGTGGGCTCTCTCTCTCTCTCTCTCTCTCTCTCTCTCTCTCTCTCTCTCTCTCTCTCTCTCTCTCTCTCTCTCTCTACTTTCTCTCATTAAATATATCATATGTGTATCAAATATATATTTATATTTATATATATATATATGTGTGAGTGTGAGTGTGTGTGAGTGTGTGTGAGTGTGTGTGTGTGTGTGTGTGTGTGTGTGTGTGTGTGTGTGTGTGTGTGTGTGTGCATACTTACCCTCATTCTCTTCTCCTCTCTTTTTTTTCCTCTCCACTACGAGCTATCGTATCGTATGCAACAGAAAACGTGGGTGTTATACAAGCAGGCCAAACCGCCACTCTGGGCATGCGCCTCCGTCTACCGCTGTGAAGCTTCCGCCTGTTACTAACATTTATATATGCTTACAATCTGATTTGACAGATGTTTAAAGCTTCTGTCCCCTCCGCTCCCCATGACGTGGTAGACAGGGTTGGGAGGAGGGAAAACGAGGGACAGCCAAGCATTCTTCGCGTGCTTCACACCTCCAAAGCGTGTGCCTTGAAGGGGACCGATGAATCAATTTGTAACTTTTATGATGTACATGTATATCAACCGAGCAGTTATTAAAGGTTGCAATTTGCTCAGTGCCAAATACGATTATGCTTATTATAATTATTATGATTCTTATTATGATTCTCATTAGGATTCTTTTGATGATGATGATTATTATTATTATTAATATTATTATTATTATTATTATTATTATTATTATTATTATTACATCAAAGTTAAATCTTTAAAAGTTATACAATCAAAACAAAACAAACAAAATGTTTATATCCGGCTACAAATGTCTTCAAGTAGATACCAAGCGTTAGTCTGTCTTACAGACCCTGATACAAATATATCAAATACAGCACATGCAAGTCTATAAATGTTTGGCAAGTCTAGATTCGAATTCCTGCAGTATCGGGATGAAGAGAGTCTCTGGGCTCCTTTGTATTCATTTTTTAAAGATAATTTAACATCTATTTTTTTTCTGTACGATATGTTCATTTCAGGGACTAGATGTTAGTCTAACCAAGCGTAGATTTATGGCGATCCTATCCCGTTCCTGAACGAGGGTCTCGGTTGTTTAAAGGTATTTCGTGAACCGTCAATATTACACAGACATAACGACATAACAGAACAAAGAAACCGCTTATATATCCTGATACAAGAGGCATGTAGATATCATGTGTCTAATACAAAGATCGCATTCGCTTCTTGACGGAGGGTCCAGTAGCTATGTCTAATGTATGTGAACTCGGTGTGCCAATGAACTCCATGCTAGTGTTGATGCGGAGAGTTACACCGAGCGTACAATGACTTCTACATATGGACGAGCCTATAGAGTTCAGAAACAGTTCTGATGTGGCAAAAACCGTATCTGGCAGAGATCGTGGAGTCGACGTGAAGCTGAAGGTGATATGATGGTGTCTGTGTTACCTCAATACGGCTTCCACTAGCTGCGTACCAAAATAAGCAGGTCCTAACTATAGCTAAAGTAAAATATCCTATATTACAACAAGAAACGTATATATTGTAGATCCGGGTCAGAATAGGTCTTTAGCAACCCCTGCTTATCGTAAAAGGCGACTATGCTTGTCGTAAGAGGCGATTAACGGGATCGGGTGATCAGGCTCGCTGACTTGGGTGGGGTGGGGGGTTTGGGGGTGTGTGGCAGTTGATTTTTTTTTATAGAAAACAGTTTTATCTGAATCAATTTGGGGACAAGTGATACTTGTACAAATATTCCCCCACCCCCACCCCCAACCCCAACCCCAACCCCGACCCCCACCCCAACACACCCCTGTCAAAAAAAGTCAACTACGGCCTTGCAGTCTAAACACCACCTGAACACAGCGTCCTCATAATTTAAACATGTTTCGAATTTAAACATAAAGTCAAATATGTATAAGATGTATAATATATATTCAGATAAAATGTGTACATCAGATTCACAGGCACGTGACTAAAACAAATTAAGGTATTTCCCACGTTTAGATCCTATTCATGTTTACACCTAAACGCGGCAAAATTATGAGACAAGGATAGTATTTTCAATTTAGCTTTGTGTTTAGGATCGAGACACACATTTGTTACAGTATATTAGTCTGTTATTTTCAAACCCACAAATTAGAAGTCTTATTTTGCTTCATTTGAAGTTTTGTTAACTCACTTAACTTAAACCATAAGGATAATACGTCACTATCCCTCTTAGACAGTGTTCATCATCACCATACCAACAAAGGCGTAACACTCTCTGTACTAACGGAGTTGACGGAATCGTATTATCAAATGAGAGTTACGTCCCTTGGTCATGCAAGTATACGCTGAATGTTGGCTAGAATCTCAAACTTTACCCGATCATCTTTGTCAACAGCATTTCCGGGGCGGTGGAGTGGCCTAGTGGTTAAAGCGTTCGCACGTCACGCTGAAGACCCGGGTTCTATTCCGTACATGGATACAATGTCTAAAGCCCATTTCTGGTGTCCCCCGCCGTGATATTACTGGAATATTACTAAAAGCGGCGTAAAACCATACTCACTCACTCAACACCATTTCCATGCGTTTCACGAACGGATAATCAGCTACGACCTCGTCTTCCTGAGGCAAGCGTGTCCACCAGCCTATATGAGTATGGTGTTACGCCGTTATCACCAGACTATACCCATAGCTAACAGCGGCACAAACACATTGCAACACCTTCTTTAGAATAACCAGTCCCTGGACTTCGTAATTACAAAGAAGGAAGCACTCCAGATTTTGATGGTTCAAACAGAACGTGATCGGTGTTTTGATAATTCTCTGTAATTAGAAAATACTCCGAAAAAGTAACAGTTTTCATGAGATAGCTGGAGCGGACTTGATATAGATTTATTACTCAAGTTTCACAATGGAGATGGTCGCGGTACAGAGTCTGCAAATGGCCAGTGCGTTATGTAAATTACCGGATCGGGTGGTCAGGTTCCCTGAATTGGTTGAAGCATGTCATCCTATCCCCATGTCACGTGGATCGATGCTGATGATGTCAATCACTGGCCTGTCTGGTCCAGACTCGATTATTTGCAGACCGCTGCCATATAGCTGGAATAGCTGGAGTGCGTCGTCAAACAAAAAACAAACAATCAAATCAAGAGTTAATTATATGTAAGATTGTTTTGACTGGCCGCCGCCATTTTGTTTGAAGCAGTGATATCAGAGACTGAATCTGATTGGTCAATAGGAGGGACATAGAAGGGATAATCGTTATAGCCGCGGGAAGCGCTACAATCGAGCCTGGAAATTCCAACCTAGTTCGGCAAGGGTGGACACTGGACTTTTATAGGCAGTTAACGCCCTTGCCTCGGGAAGATGACACTGGGGCTGGTGACGTCAACTGCGACTCTACTGTATGCGGATGATACTTTCTGTACAACTACTTTTATGCTCACCACGTGTTAATTCGTTTTTGCTGTAAAAATGACGTTGGTTCGAGATAAAGAAATTATGGAGGACACTGGCCAATTTTCCAAATATGACGTCGCCTTGTTTTATAAAAGAACTACAAATGGAAAACATTGTGGGGATTTCACGACGGCGTCCAAATGGCCACATAATGCTATAAAACTCCTTGCTTGTGGATATATTTCCTCTTGGTGGACCATTGTTAAGCACAAATGTATAATCCGCAATGACTCCAATTTTTACGCTGTTTTGAGCAGTATTCCAGTTATATAGCGTCGTGTGAGCTTTATGTTGGGGGACGCCAAAGACGACTGGGCCACCAGTGCCTCCGACGTTCAGAGGGTTGAAGAAAGGATTTGCTCGAACATTGTGTTACACCGCTCTCAGTAATTGTACGAACAGCTTCATAACGGCGGCCGGTAAATGGGTTTTCAGCTACTTCCGTTCCATTTTTTAATCATCACTGATGTTTTCTTGTTACCGAGCCGTTACCCAAGTCGTTCCCATGCCATAGATTGGCGCTTAGTGGTAGAACTGAATTCTACCGTTCTACGCATGCGCTACTTCGCGGATTGTTTACTTTCAAGCATCAGTTACCCTCTCTACGCATGTGTTTACTTTCTGGCTTATTGAAAACAGCTCGTACTCTATCTGCAGATCAACAGAAGCCCATAAACTATGGCCTGGATGAGTGCAGAAGAGCAGGTAACGCCATGTAAACAAAAACAACAAAGATTTATGACGGAAGCCAGCGACTGATAGCTCGAGCAACGCTCAACACCGTCGGGCTATGAAGACAAACAATCAGCCAGTTGCTCACTACCTTTAACAGTGAAAGAGGGATAGATTAGTGGCTGAGGCGTCGGTTCGTCCTGATTGCTCACATGGGTACAGTGTGTGAAGCTCGTTTAGGAACCTATGGGGACAAAGCTGGAATATCGCGTAAAAGAACACTCACTTCAAAACGGTATTGATGTGATCTACTGACTCATAGGACCCGTGAAGATCCGGGGTAGAGTAGGTCTTCACCAACCCATACTTGCCGTAAAAGGCGACCATGCTTATCGTATGAGGCGACTAACGGGATCGGGTGGTCAGGCTCGCTGACTTGGTTGCTGCATGTGATTGTATCCAAATAGATGCTCATGATGTCAATCACTGGACTGTCTGGTCCAGACTCGATTATTTACAGACCGCCGTCATATAGCTGGATTGTTGCTGAGTGCGGCGTTAAACAACAAACAAACAAACAAACAAACTGAGTCATGGACGATAGTCAGCTGTGTGACAACTATGTATCCTTTGTATCTTCGGCAAACATAATCTTTAAAATACTAAAAGTCCCACATTCACTGTGAACTACAGAAAGTCCCAACATAAATAGCCGTTAAAAAGAAAGTATATCTTTTAAAATTGGATTTGACCAAAACATTACAAACGTTAAAATTTTTTACTAAGCTGAAAACTGTGGCCGAAAAACAGTCAACTTAAGATCCCAAACACAAGTTGATACCCGTTGAAATACATTACCATTGAAAAGACATGTCTTGTTTGTTTCATTTTAGACACCATCAAACATTGGGGAATACTTTCCCCTGCCCAGCAGTTTAGTAATTGCATCTTTATCTATTATTTGAATTATTAAACATGGTGCCGGGTTTATCAAAAGAGGAACTACGTGTGAAAGTAGGAAAATCAAATCTAATTCGAGTTTAGGTGCATAAAAACATCTTCCACACCATGGCCAACTTGCACAAAGTGATCTTAGCGCTAAGGCTATTGAAAGCCTATGTTAAAGGATGGGAGTTAAGATTATTTTAGCGCTAAGATCGCTTTGTGCAAGTGGGTCAGGGCTGAGGGCCCCGTTTTACAAAGCGATCTTAGAGCGACGACTACCGTAACAC